CATACCGGGGTCCCTCTCGATAGAAAGCCAACCAAGAGAAACCTAGGTAATCAATACTTAGACACAGCAGTCTTCGAACTAATGAGGGATTTTTCGTAGTAGCGTATGTTTTAAACAAGAACAGGAATGTTGATGAACATGCGGCGGTCCTTATGTTTCAGTTTAGGAAGCTCCATATTTGTAGCGACGTGCGGAATGGCAGGCAGGACAATATAGTTTTTCCGGGGCCGTTGCTTGCAGAAGCGAGTGCTTCAGCTCGAAAAGTAACTCCCGCCGCGCAAAAACGTAATTTTGTTTCAGTGTGACGGCATCGTTGGTAGCCAGCACGTTAGCGTCTGAGCGTTCGCACAGGTCCGCATCTATCGTTGTAAAAATAATAAAAAAATGCGAGATGACGAGAGCGCGAAAGAAGAGACGGAGGGAAAAACCATGCGAGACTGGATGGGCGATTGATGTAACTAAAGCAAGGGTGCAGGCAAGCTGGTTCAATACTGAGATTGGAGTTTTTCGCCTGTCCTACGTCCCTTCTTTTTCCCGGCTCCAGGGTTACAATGTCACAATTGATGCAGAGTACTTCGTGTCGGGTGGCCGCTTGCCCCACCTAGCTCACGCATACTCAGTTACGGTACTCAGTTTAGTTTCGGTTTTGAAAGGCGACCAAAACGGGTCCTTTGGCGCAGGCTTGGCGCAGATTACCCATATTTTGGCGAAATGTAGCAGGATGTAGCAGGGTTAACCCCTTGGCGCAGTTTGGCGCAATTGGCGCAGCAATCACATCACTGGGTATAACATATAATGTGCTTTTAATGCTCACAGGGAAATCTCTGAAGTTTCTTTTAATAGAGTTAAGCATCCGAGTCGCTTTTGAAGTTTGTAATTCATATGTTTGTCCAAATAAGGTTTTCTAGACTACTTTGAGAGTCTCTGAGCACTATAATTTAAGAGTATATTAAGAGTATTTTTGAGAGTATTCAGAAACCAACCAGAGCAAGAAAATATGTACTTAGAAAATCTATTTTCTAAGACTGCATTTCAAGCATGCTTTTAGCTCTTTCCCGACTGCGACCATAAACCATTGATCGCCCGTGATCGATGGGCGCAAAGTCCCATTTCAAAGCTTTCACAGACCTTCCAGGTTCACTGCGCCATCTAGTAGGTGGTTTGAAGACTACAGTTTGGATTTGTGTGGTTGTTTCTCTTTCCGCATGGCAGTGGTTTAAGCCAAGCATGAAAGCGATGGTGCGTCATCATTGCTGACGGCCATGGCTGCTTAAAAAGGCCCTGCATGCGGTCGCAATCATGACAATGGGCAAGAGCTGGAACTCCAAAAAATACTATAAAAATAACATAGTAGAGCATAAAAAATAATTTTTTTTTTGCAGAACTTTGTAATGTGTATTAGTGCTTTACTGCACTGAAAAACTGCTTTGCCCGATGGCATGACAGTCCTGAGAGTTGACTTGATTTTTTTATAAAGCTCCAAACCTTTTCAAGCTGCTTTGCAGAGCTTCTCAATATAAAAATTATGAACATTTTGTAAATTTCGATTTTGTATTGTTTTTTCTTCCCTTTGCTATATTTTTACCCAGTTTGGTTCAAGATTTAAAGAAAAATATATGTTTGCCAAATTAAGATTTGCTTCTCTGGTTTTATGTTTGCATTGTTATATGTGGCACCATATTATAAACCCAAAAATTTCCTCAAAAGAAAAAAGTAAAAGAAGCACTAAAGAGGCCGCATCCACGTGGTGAATGATGTTGATTGGGGCGAAGCTCTGGTGGTGCTGATGATACTGATTTTATTGTTCATAAATAGTGCTGATGGTGCTGATTTTTTTTATTGCTCATAGGTAGTGCTGAGTTCCGGGTTCCATTTCAACTTCATTATTACTGCTTTATGGTCGGTGAAATGCACAGCCAGTGGTTCTTCTAGCGGATCAGCTTGGATCCGCTAGAAGCCGTGGGAATGCATCTCCACCGCTTAAGTCAACGGTCCATGTCAGAAAGAGAATGTGCGGTATGGATCGTGGTCATATACGCAGTTGAGCATTTGACCACAGCACCCTCTCGTCTATAAACGTCGAGGCAATTTAATGCGATTATATATGCATTTGACCGCAGCGCCCTCTCCTGTATAGACGTTGAGTGGCTACACGCAACGTTGGAGTGTAGCGTAGTGGTTAAGACGTCTGTTTCGTAAGCAAGCGATCCTGAGCTTAAACCCCCGTGCGGGCGTATGTTTTTTTTTTCTTAAAAGTGGGCCAATCCCAGAGGCAGTGCAATCGATATGAGCACGGACGCCGGACGGACAAGGCTAGACCCTAAGGAGCTTCGCCCCTAAAAAAGCCACACAAAACAGGTATTTTTTATAAGGTCAGAAAAGAGTTATAGGTGCACTGAAGTGCTTTTAGACAAAATTATTTTTTGGCATTATATTGTGTAATAGGTGTCAGCAAGCATCTACCGTAAAGTTCCGAAAGAACGCCCACCCAAAATGAAGAGAAAAATGGTCAAAAACATGGGGTGAGCTATCTTTGGAGATGCCACAGCAAAACCTTATCGAAAATTCTTGATAAACACGGAGGCACCCGCTATAAACCCCGTGACGCGGGAACTGATACTCCAGAACTCGGACACGGCAAATTTGCGTTTCACGGTGCGACAAACATATGTGAATTTGCTACAAACTCATGTGTCACAGGAGGGGATACCGCAGGTTGTGGACGCAGCAGATTCGTGTTTAACCATGTAATAGACCTGCGGAAACCAGCTAAGAACTCGCATCTCACGAGAATGAATGCCGCAAATCGCAAATGCAGCAAATTCAAGTTTTATTCTGCAATAAACATGCGAGAACCCGCTACAAACTTGACTTTTTGTAGCAGGATATCGCACGCGAAGATCGCGGACAAAAACATGGGAATCCGCTACGAACTTGTGTGTCACGGGAACAAATACCGCAGATCGTGGATGCAGCCAAATCGTATTTCACTACGCAATATACACGCTGGAACAACTCGCGTGTCACAGGAATCAATATCACGTGTGCAGGCCGCGGACAAAAACGCGGGAATCTGCTACAAACTCCCATGTCACGGGAACGGATACAGCAGATCGTGGATGTAGCAGATTTGCATTTCACGATGCAATATACACGCAGGAACTCGTGTGTTACGGGAGCCGTTATTGCGCGAGCAGATCGCAGACAAAAATGCAAGAACCCGCCATGAACTTGCTTACCAGACGTACCGGTACAACAGATCGTGCAGCGGATGTGATTCCCGTTTGACATCGCATGACGTCTGACCGAAATTGGGGGGTGGGCGATGTTTGGCCATTTTTATGTTACAGATATTTAGTCAGAAAAACAGGATGGGCGATCTCTCGGGGGCGGGCATTCTCTCAGAACTTTACGTAATCAGGTGTTCTACCTGGGACTCTTGCAACTCTTGTGCAACTCAGTGAGGAAGAAACTCCTCGATTTGTGGGAAAGGGTTCCATCACAACAACGCCCCAGGACACACTGCCCTGTCAGTGCATCCATTTTTTAAAAAAAATAAAATGACACCGTCTCCACCCCCTATTCACCGAGCCTCACCCCGTGTAACTTTTTCTGTTCGCCCGTATGAAGTTGTGTCGTGTGCTGTTATCGTGTTCATGTGTTGGTGTGCATACTTAACGTTTGTGCGACCAACTGGGCGTGTGCGTACGTGGACGTGGACTGCTCCGATGATGTGCTGCTGCCCAGACGCTTCATAGGCCTAACGCTTGCTTCCATCAAATTATCCCGGCGAATTCACCGGAGACGATTTGACACGACTCTGGCGAACCTGCCAAGCGGTTAGTTTCAATAAACGCGGTGATGTGACTTTTTTGTTTTTCCGTCGTCCTTTGTGTAACATTTCGGAAAAAATAGATGCTGGCGTGCACTCGTTGTCCCCATCATTTTCTTGTTTTCAAACAACAAACCACTGTCCCAAATCGCTGTTTCGAAGCATGACCACACAACACAAACGAGCCACACACCGATCACACGATTTGTATCGACCAGGAAATGGAAACATGCTGCTTGAGACAACATGGTTGCCACGTCTTTTTGCCCTGGCTCGCATTGCACTGGCAGACGTTGGAGTAAAAACAGCCTTGTCCGCCGAAGAATTTCTAATTCTGACGGCATCAGATTGTGACTGTATCACGTGCACACGCAAACAGCTGCTGAAACGTAGTTCGTCCGAGGCAGCAGCAGCTTGGGACTACTTGGAATCTGGAACCACACCGCCGATCCATCCGCACACTCGCACCTTTGTCGACAACTTCACTCAGGGAATTCGCCCCGAGAAAGGGCGTGTCCACGACTTTTGAACATGTTTTTAACAAGGAAACGCACATCTGTAATTCTTAGATTTTTGGGATCTCAGAAACCACTTCAAAGCATTTTTGAGGCAATTCTTGGTCATGGAACAATAAGGTCATTTCTTTTACGTAGAGTGCACTAGTACTTTGCGATTTGAGAGGGCAATCTCCCATCCCAATGGTATACTAGTATGTGCAATAAAAACAAAAAAAGTCTGCAAAAAATAAACTAAATATCATCTATTTTCTACCCTCCTGAACGTTTCGACACCCCTAAAAATTAGCTGAAACACATCGTCTAGGAAGTGGATAGCATGTGGGCTCGGAACCGAATGAAATCACCTCGGCAGTGAAAATGTCAATCCCTCCATGTCCCTTTCAGTTTTACAAGAGGCGCATTAGATATACTGTCATAAACTTTTTGGCATTATATTATAAAGTGAATGCGGTATAGTTTATATTTTTGTATAATGCGTAATCACTTCACATAGCACCCCTACAATAATGCCCTCTGGATGATGTAGGTATCCCTCGGAAGTAGATAACACATAGGCTCCCTGCTGAGTGGGCAGCGCAACTTCGTTTTCGAAAGTGAAAAGCGACGATGACTCGTCTGCACATAGGAAGCGGAGGAGGCGGTCGACTCACCTTGGGTTGCCCCGAAGTGCTGCATGGTGGAGTGCGTTGAAGCCGTTGTTGTTGGTGAGCGTGATGTCGGCGCTGTGGTCCAGCAGGAGGGTCAGCATGTCATCCCTCTTCTTGCTGATGGCATCATGCAGCGGTGTGTCCCCCTCGCAGTCCTGAAAACAGAAGGAGCGTGGCTCTTTGCCTTGCGCCAGCACCGCAGATGCCGCCAAGCAACAATTTCGGTCCTCCAATATCGACAAGTGCAGTCAAGACATTTGAGCGATTCCTTACAGTAGAGTTCTGGCCCCAAATTGCACCACCCAAACGACCTCGGCAGTGATGGGGCAGCCATCACTGATGAGGTCGTTTGTCATCACTGTCATATTGATATACAGTGGAATCTCCTTAATTCAAACTTGCGAATAATTCAAACTAACATGCAGGTCCCATCCTATGCATCTCTATGGAAGGACACTCCCAGTAATTCAAACTTTGCTTTATTCAAAAAAATTTTCGGTCCCCCTCGAGTTTGAATTAACGAGATTCAACTGTATTTGAAGCATTTGTAGAGGTCTTTATTGGTGCCATTTGGAACCGCCAAGTGACGACGTCTGATTGACAAAGATTGCTACGCTCCTAAGCCTACCGACAAAACGCTCCCGCTTCCTAAGAGCATAAAAAGAATGGCAGCCATTTTGTGCCCGTCGTGGGGCCAAAAAGTTCCTGAGGCAGCTAGAACAAAACTAAAACGTCCGGTCGATGCAAGAAATTTGAGTTAATGGTTCATTATATATCCCGAGGTAGTGATGAACGGTTATAGGCAATTTCTTTCCAAAACGTGTACCTTAAAATCCCGAGGTAGTGATGAACGGTTATAGGCAATTTCTTTCCAAAAAGTGTACCTTAAAATCCCGAGATAGCCTACCTAAAATCGAAAGCAAATTGGGTGAACATAAGAAGTGGGCTAACTTTTGGTGTGTGATAAAAAAGTAGAAAAATATTGTAGAGCCCTTCCACTTCACGTGAAAATGAAGGACCAGTGAAGCTGTTATTTTTATGACGTCCAAGGCGATGCCTAAAGGATGACCTCTAGGACGACCTCAAGGATGACTCCTAGGATTTCCTCGAGGACGACACCTAGAGGACGACGTCTAGGACGACCTCAAAGACGACTTCTAGAATGACCTTGAGGACGACGCCTAGAGGACGACGTCTAGGATGACCTCAAAGACGACTTCTAGAATGACCTTGAGGACGACACCTAGAGGACGACGTCTAGGACGACCTCAAAGACGACTTCTAGAATGACCTTGAGGACGACGCCTAGAGGACGACGTCTAGGATGACCTCAAGGACGACTTCTCGGACGATCTCGAGTACGACGTATAGGACGACTTCAAAGACGCCTTCTAGGATGACCTTGAGGAGGACGCCTAGAGGACAATGCCTAGGATGACAGACGATTTCAAGACAAGTTCTAGGAAGACCTCGAGGACGACGTCTAGAACGACCTCATGGACGACGTCTAGGACGACCTCAAGGACGGCGTCAAAAATGACCTCGAGGACGACTTCTATGACGACCTCAAGGGCGATGTCTAGGACGGCCTCAAGGATGACCTCAAGGATGACTTCTAAGACGACCTAGAGGACGACGCCTAGGACGACTTCTAGGACGCCCTAGAGGATGACCTCAAGGACGACTTCGAGGACGATGCCTAGAGATGATAACAAGGGATCAGGACCTCACTATCGAATAATGCCAAAAAAGGCTGACTCAAGCTGGTTGCCCCCTTTTATTATTTTTATTTATTCATACTTGCCACGACCGATGGGGAGTTTTTGTCAACATCCCCTCAGACACATTTTTTACCAGATCCTAGCACATAACAGCTTTGTTGTAAAATGTTAGTTTTAGATTTCATGACCTGCAAATCATGCCAAAATAGGGGTGAGTTATCTTTCGGGAGTCGGATATTACCTCTCGGGATATTACAGTAATGTTTTTAGCATAACCTTCATTTTAAGCTTGCGACAAACCGAAGCCAATACCTTGCCTGCGGCAGGCAACACTGCTCCTGTGTCATCACCTCATGATCACTAGGTACAAAGGAGAAGCAAGCACATGGTACAAACCATGACGTCACGTACCAGGCACCCGGGCGCAGCACAAGGGCGAATATGTCACCTGCTACCCGACGTTGCCTGCACTACCGCGGCCGCAGCTTGTGTTTTAGCTCAGAAAAACGCAAGTTTTCCCGAGGGCTTGTTTTGAAAATATGGGTAGGAAGTTAAGTTTTGTAAACCACGCGTAAATATGTCACAACGGGTAGAAGTATGCCGTGCTCAACGCTGAGGACTGGCTCTCTCGCACGTGACAGAAGCTGCCGGCGATGACGCATGCTCGTACTGGAGCACACAAGCGCGTGCGCCTACTGCGAACCCCGTGAAAAACGAAGAGCATGCTGCTAGAGGCACCTGCAGGCTTAGCTTGAAAAAGTAAAAACAAGCAAACAAATCTCCTGGAGCGTCCTGAGCATGATGTAGATTGTGCAGGGTGGACTGAGCCGACACGGTGGTAGACTGAGCTGCTGGCTACACTGCACCTCGCCCACTAGGATTAGCAGATTTTCGTAATTGTGCACTTTAAACTTTGTTGCCAAGTTTTATCCACTTTTAGGTGGAATTAGATTTAAATAATTGGCATGTGGTCTTTTGGGGTGATATTAATGAAACCTGCATTGTTTTCTTACTACTGAAAATGAACTGGAGTTTCTCTTAAATAGAACGTTGAACAACGTTTGAAATTTCACTATGTGTCATAGATAAGTAACTCTACGGGATAAACGATGGCTCCACGAAGATGTACGAAAAATCGCTTGGCGACTGAAAACCAACTTTATCGCTTCAACAGCGTGTGACAAGTTGCATGGATTAGTCCGGAAATAAACATTCCTTACAAGACTTTGCATTCTTGGTCTGGCTACAATACACTCTTTCTTTTTTCAATCGCACTCCAAAAGTTAGTTTACCCATTATTTTTTATGCAATTCACTCTCGATTATGGTATGTGCATGTGGAATCAATATCATGATACAAAATAGGGCACACTGATAGTTCAGACCCATGCTGAAGTACAAGATAGTTTGCCCAAATTGCGAGATAAAAATATACTTTTTGTCTAAGGCCCAACAAGATATTATGTGCTGGAAAAAATCAACCATTTGCATTAACTCCTTATTTCAAGCTCTTTTTGTTCACGTTTCGCCTATTGAAAAGCACGGCGAAAGAGCCCAGGTGCGCACATGATCTCAGCACCCCGCTGTCCCCTTCCACAGGGTAAAGTCCGTCTGCTATGGTCAACGTCACCATGGCAACGAAGCATCGTCCATATAGGGGAATGTGTAAATGCAGCGTTTCAAGCCAGCAACAATCTGCTAACATGAACACCAGAACGCTAGCCGAAGTTGGACGCACCTTTGTGGCGATCGAAGCCAGGTGCGGAAAGCGGTCGCCTCGCGAACCCTTGGCAGTTCTGACGAGCCTCGGTGCACGCCCAAGCCCGAGATAATATAAAGCTTACCCGAGCAAAGCGTGGGCTTCGCCGCATGCAGCGCAATCTGTTTGGCAGCCTAGCTTGGAGCCTAAGCTATAGCGTTGCCGTGTTGGCAGCAAACGGTATCCGGAAGATGGCACGGCAGTAGCTGGCTTCAGACGCTGTGTTCGTGTGTGCGTCTATTGACACTCGGTGACCGCAGCAGATGGACTACAGTAGACTCCCTTTAAGACGAACACGAAGGGACCCGCGGAAGTTGCATGGCTACACCCAACCGTGCAATTTTTTTTTTCTTTCTTCCGAACGCAGCAGACGAAATGCGTTGCGGAATTTGTTTGCCGCGCGATTTCTTTGCAGTTATGTTTGTTCAGCTCGCTGTTCTGTATTTCAAGATGAGTTGTTTTGTACATTTAAGTGTTGGCAATTAGTAGTGAGTGCCCGCGGTAAATTTCCCCGATCGGCTCCGAAAAGAATACTCCCAAGATGTGGCGTGAAGAGCTGCCTCACATGTCCTGCAACTGAAAGAGACATTTTGCAGCAGAGTGCACAAGTTTCAGAAAGATCAACGGGTCCGGATCAATGGCTGGCTGCAATTCCTGTAGAACAGTTATGACAGCCTCGGAGAGCGGACGCTACCTGATTCGTATGCTCCTTGCATTTTGTGGAGAGTGACTGCATTGAGTTCGCAAGTGTCAAAAATGGAATCCCATACCATTTAGTTCAGCGACATATCATCCATAACAATTGTTTTTTTCAGTGGTAATTGTAAAAAAAGAAATGTAAACATCACAAAATGCTTAACAAAAAAAAAAAAGAAGAATAGTACGCCCACACAAGAGATTGAACCCGTGCCTGCTGCGTGTGAAGCCGATGTCTTTCCACTGAGCTACTGAAGGAACTCTTTCGTTCGTAGTAATGCAGCCGTTCGACTGTATGTCGGAAAGTTTGCTACCGATTTCCCACCAGTACATGCACTCCCGGCTTCAAGTCAGGCAGAACCACTCATTGGCCACATTCGCACCAAGTAAATAAACCGTACGCGTGAATATTCAACTCGAAATACGCACTGCAGTTCGTGCTTGACGTTTGAGCGAGCAATGTCTTCAGCCACGAGAAGGGACCACGGCTCGGCGACGTCTTCGTGCAATCGGCTTGTTGGTCGGGCGTATCGTACGGGATGAATATCAATTCTTTTGATCGGTCCAAAACTTGTCTTTCAAAGGAAGTGTGAAATTTCGCCGGTACCGTGAACGACAGTTCCGAAGTAGAGGTCCCAAGCCCTTCGTCCGCTGCCATCAGCTAGTCCCACGATACGCGAAACGACGCCATGTTGAGAATTATGCAGTGAACGCACAGAATGCTTCCAGCTGTCTGTGCAACCTTTTTTTTTTTTCAATTAACATATTTGCAGCTTTTTGGAAGCCACAAAAAATGGGTTTCATATATTTTTCTATTTTTAATATTGACTGTGTGCCTTCAATGACCCACGACTTTGATTAAATTTGGTGGTCGTGTCTAAACCTTAGAAAACGGCCCGTGACCACGAAAATGAGAGTGAGCGCAACAACACCGGCGAGCTCTCGATCGGCGGTTTTCGGGTGGAAAGAAACCGAATTTCGAGCCGCAAATTCCCTTCTGGGTAGTTGGGCTCTCATATGTCACGTACAACTAGAAACCTCGGCGAGCATAAATACCTTTTCAGTGTCCCTTTAAGTATCAAACTGCCCAAAAATAAAACCTCTTAACCCGGACGACGCATTGAGTCGCAACTTCCAAGACAATGTTTCGAGGCCAGTGGCCACTTCCTCAGTTTGTTTAAAAAAAAAACAAGTGAACTCAACTTGTTTTAAAAAGAAGCTTTACAAAAGCACGAGAAGGAAGCGAGCGAAAGCAATCTGCATCCGAGTTGATAAGAGGTTCTATTTTGCATTGTATTACTCGCAAGCCTAGTTATGTGCTGGTAGGTCTTCTTAAAATCAACGTCCATAGTTATAGTAGACGAAACTGGTTCAAGCACTCGAAGTGCAGGCTCGGTAAAACCGCCCACGCGGCTCAGGTTCCGTTCGTGCAACCTCGGCATTGTCGCAGCACGGTCCGTCTGCCCACGCGACGGACGTCCTGAACGGGCCGGGAGACTCACCTGCAGGCTCGGGTGGCAGCCCAGGTCGAGCAGGGTCTTGACCACCCCGACATGTCCCTTGTTGACCGCAATGTGGAGCGGCGTCTGGCGCCGCTTGTTGCGGGCGTTCAGGTCGGCCCCGGCCCTAGCCAGCAGGTCCATGACGCTCGGCTCGTCCCCAAACGCCGTGTGGTGCACCGCACGGTCGCCGTCTTTGTCCTGTGAGGTGAGGAGAGTCGTCGGCCCGCATGTCAACGGCCTTGACGTTCCGCGTCGGGCGCGGAAGCCCCAGGCGTTTTCGGGGTATGGCGTTTTACGGCGACCTTTCTCCCCAGCTAACGTTGACCCTTTCGGATATGCTATCGGGTCTGTAAATATGGGTGCAATCGTTTATGTATGTTCCAATGAATACACCAGTGGTTGTCTTTATATCCCTTTTTTTATAATAATTTTTTTTTGTTTGTGTGTATTTCTAACAGTCACACGAGCAACAGTCATGATGATGGGTGGGCAAGAGTGATTTTCCTTCCCTTCCCCTGTAGTGTTTACTTTAAATTTCTTAAATATCTGCAGGGGGGTAGGGGGGGGTAATCCCGGGTCCAACGCTCCTGAAGGGAGTCCCGCTGTGACATTGACACTACATACATTTCTTTCAGTTATAATACTTTCGCGTCTCCCTTTTGCATCCCCTTTTGGGTCTCTTTTGTACCTTATGTACTCACTAAGTTATCCTCACAAAAAACATATTCTAAGTTAAAAAAAAATATCTCTGCAAAACTTGTATCGGCATTTGTCGCGTCAGAAGCTATTGAGGAAGCAGTAGACAGCAGAGGTGCTCGCTGCATCTCAACGGAGCAGCACCCTTTCGGTGCCTCGTACTCACCTCAATCTCGACGTCGGCATTGTAGCGTAGAAGTATCTTCACCACCTCTACGTGCCCGTTCTGACTGGCAGCTTGAAGAGCCGTGTGGCTTGCAAATACACCATTCACCTGCAACACCGCATTCAGGCATTGGGAATCGGGTCAAGGAACACTGGCGTGAAAGAAAATGTAAAGCCATACCCCAACTACAAAACTTCCTTCATCCTTTGAGACAGTGGTTCTCAAACAGGGGTCTGCGGACCCTTTGGGGTCCCCTAAGGCCCACTTAGAGTCGCTGAAGGCCCTCTTAGGGTCCCCGAATTTCTCGACCATCAGTCAAGCCAAACAAAAAAATTGTAGAGCCCTTCCACTTCAAGTGAAGATGGAGGACCAGCGAAGCTGTTATTTTTACGACGTCTAGGTCAATGCCTAGAGGACAATGTCTAGGATGACCTCAAGGACAACTTCAAGAACGACCTCGAGGACGCCGCCTAGAGGACGACTTTAAGAACGACCTCGAGGACGCCGCCTAGAGGACGACTTCAAGAACGACCTAGAGGACAACGTCTAGGACGACCTGAAGGACAACTTCTACGATGACCTCAAGGACGACGCCTAGGACGACCTCTGGGATGACCTCAAGGACGACTTCGTGGATGACGTCTAGGATGACCTCAAGAACGACTTCTAGGACGCCCTCAAGGACGACCTTAAGGATGATTTTTAGGACGACCTCGAGGACGACCTCAAGGATGATTTTTAGGACGACCTCAAGGACGACCTCGAGGACGGCTTCTAGGACGACCTCGAGGACGATGCCTAGAGATGATAACAAGAGATCAGGACCCCACTATCTAATAATGCCAAGAAAGGCACCCACTATCTAATAATGCCAAGAAAGGCAGACTCACGCTGGTTGCCCTCTTTTTATTTTTATTTATTCATACTTGCTCCGACCAATGAGAAGTTTTCTATCAACATCCGCGGACACATTTTTCCCCAGATCCTAGTGCATAACAGCTTCACTGTAAAAGGTTGACTAATATTTGAATGAATACAGTACATCTGCTTTAAAAAATTAAAATATTTTTTCTTTTTTAAAATTTTAATTCATTTTGACTTTCTTTTTTTTTTTTCTTTTTACATGGATCTACACCACTTGTAGTGACAAAGTTAACTAGCGCAGACACTGACAAAGTTCCCAGACTAGTAAGTATTTCATCTAAAAACCCGCAGTTCCGCTCCTGGTCCATGTCTTCGGATTGATGCGTTTAGCGTCCTATCCTACCTCTATACGGTCGATCGACTTTGCCGGGACATGCAAAATTGGGTCAAATTATCCTAAAGTCGAATCAAAAGATTCATGAGAAATTCGGAATATACAGCGCGTCAGATCAGGTGGGCTAACATTTTTATAATGAGCTGCCGCATATAGCTGCACGGCATTGGCAGCGGAAGTGTATATCCTTTGTGCGTTCAGCGGCGGCAGCGGCGACGCCACCTTTGTGCGTGTTGACGTCGTCAGCGGCCTTCTCTCACAAACAGCCAATCAGCACTCACTGCTCCGCAGCGGTATTGCAATAGTTGTTTCGTATTGAGACCAGGACGTGTCCCGCATCTCAACATGTGCTCTCTTTTTCTCTCTTCGCAATTCGGCGCGTGCTGCAATCTTCGAAAACGGGCACGGCTAATCGTGCTAGTAATTTGCCCACTGCCAGTTCGGGTGATGTGATTGGCCTAAGCCTTTTTGGAGCACCTTCTGGAGCAGCCAAAACAGAGTTTTGGAGCAGAAAAACTGGCTTTTGGAGCAGCTAAAACAGTGCTTCGGAGCAGCGAAAGTGGCTTTTAAAGCAAATATTCTTAAAAAAAAACACATTAATTTCAAGTGGTGGACAAACGAAGGACACATTGCTCGCCGCAATCAACCAATTATTGTCAAGATAGACCACCTGGGAGTCTTTCAACATGTAACTGAAAGGCCAATGACAAAACACATTTTGCAATGCCTCAGTTAAATGATACGAATATATCTGACCAAACTGCACATATTAAAATCTATTTGAAAATGACCAGCTCAGTAGTAACTAGAGAGTTTTAGTAGATCGTTTTCCAAGGCCCGCTACCGCTACAGCCGCGCGCTTCGGAGCATGCATCGAAGGGGTAGCGCGAGCTCCCACCACAAATAGCATCGCCCGAAAACACGATCTACTAAAACTCTCTATTATCACATCATTAGGTTGACTAGTAATATAATAAATGGAAGCAGTCTCCAACTGATGAAACACCTAACTACTGCCGTGCAATGTGAAATTGTCGCGCGAGCGAAGATGGCTGTTCGATCGAAACCATGCCACTCAACTCCGTCTCCAACTAATTCCCAAAATTGTATGCAAAATGTAACTGTCCAACACACGACAAAAAAAAAACAAAAAAAAACAGTCCAGCGGCACGTGCTTGCCAGGCCGGCAGGCAAAATAGAAGCTAAATACAGAAAAAAAAAAAAAAAAAGAATCTGAGCTCATTGATGCAATACATCGCGAGCCAGGGTCAAAACGTTCTTGGAGCTTTGTGCAACGACTAAACTCGAGACAAATAAGCACGCTGTGCGGGTTCAGCATCCGGACATTGCCTTCTTTGCTTTATCTCACTTTTCTTCACCAAGATCTTTCGCGGCTGATTTTTCACGTACCGGGGTACGTCTCGAAAGAAAACCTACCGAGAGAACCCTAGGCATTCAATACTTCGACACAGCAGTCTTTAAGCTGAAGGGATGTTTGTAGTAGCGTATTAAACAAGAACAGGATTGTTGATGAACATCCGGCAGTCTTTACGTTTCAGTTTAGAAAGCGCCACAACTGCAGTGACGTGGGGACGGCAACACCCGACGCCGCACGACCATGGTGGCTGGCAGGCAGGGACCAAATATAGTTTGGCCACGGCCGTTGCTTTTACGAGCGAGTGCTTCAGCCCATAGAACAACCCCCGCCGCCCAAAAACATGGTTTCTTTTCACAGCATGACGGCATGGCTCGTACCCAGCACGCTAGCATCGGAGCGCCCGCACACGCCCACGCCTATCATAAAATTTTTTTTTTTTTTTAAAAGACGCCAGACAAGAGATGGCGGGAAAAATCATGCAAGACCGGATGAACGACTGATGCAGGGTACTTTGTGTCGGACGGCTGCTTGCACCACCTAGCTCATCTGTGCTCAATTACGGTACTCAGTTTAGTTTTGGTTTTCAAAGGCGACCAAAATTGGTCCTTTGGCGCAGGCTTGGCGCAGATTACCCATATTTTGGCAAAATGTAGCAGGATGTAGCAGGGTTAACCCCTTGGCGCAGTTTGGAGCAATTGGCGCAGCAATCACATCACTGCAGTTCTCTCTTGGTGAATTTACCAATATTTTATATTTCAAGGTTGAAATAACAAGTTTTTTTTTCTTCTATACAAATGTACAGGCTTTTCCTTGGACCTTTGAACAGGGTCGAATTAAACGATAGGTTGAATTTACTGAGGTCAAATTAACAGTGATGTGATTGGCCTAAGCCGTTTTGGAGCACCTTTTGGAGCAGCCAAAACAATGTTTTGGAGCAGCAAAAGTGTCCTTTGGAGCAACAAAAGTGACTTTTGGAGCTGCTAAAACAACGTTACTAAACGACTCAGTTGGGAAACTCCCATAATGGTGGCGTTTTTTTCGTCATTAGCTCGGTCCTCGGAGACAGTTTGGGGCCACTTTTTCAAAGCTGTCTTTATAGAGACAGCTTTGAAAAAGTGGCCCCAAACTGTCTCCGAGAAATTGTGGCGTTGTGTTCGTCATTAGCTCGGTGCTCGGCGACAGTTTGGGGCCACTTTTTCAAAGCTGTCTCTATAGAGAGACAGCTTTGAAAAAGTGGCCCCAAACTGTCTCCGAGCACCGAGCTAATGACGAACACAACAGAGAGACAGCTTCGAAAAAGTGGCCCCAAACTGTCTCCGAGCACCGAGCTAATGACGAACACAACGCCACCATTTCTCCCGCAGCGGCCACTCGAGGAACTTCACGTGACTTCTACTTTGGTTTTAAGAACAGATACAGCGGAAGAGGTTACAGGGGTGCCACCCCCGTCTCCCCGGCGGACGCGCCGCGTCGAACTACCGAAGTTAAAATGCACCTCGGTCGGGACGCGCCACCTGAAAGGACCGCTGAGGCGTGGTTGTATAAAAACAATATTAATTGTGCCGCAAAACCCTGAAAACTAAAGATTTTAAAAACATAACGCGCCCCTCTTTTTCTACTAAACTCCAATAAATTTCATACAAAAAGAGTCTTTTCCGTTTGTTTTTACGCAAAAAACAGGCTTTCAAAAACTCAAGGTGACCACAGTACAGACACACGATAAAGAGTGGCGCTCTTGTCGCATTTAGCTCGGTCTCGGTGGACGCCAGCGGCCCTGGTTTCGACGGCGAGTTTTCCAACTGAGTGTTTTAGTAACGTTGAGCTAAAACAGTGTTTAGGAGCAGCAAAAGCGGCTTTTGTAGCGGATATTCTTAGAACGATAAAGATAAAATTTCAAGTGTTGGACAAACGAAGGACACTTTGCTCGCCGCAATAAACAAATTATAGTCAAGTTAAACCACCTGGGAGTCTTTCAACATGTAACTGAAATGCCTATGACAGGACGTATTTTGCAATTCTTCAGTTATAGGATACATATACATGTACCCGCTATAGGTAAATAAGAACCAAACTGCACATATAAAAATTTATTTGAAAAGGACCAGCTTAGTAGTAAATAGCACAGCATTAGGCGTACTAGTTCTATAATAAATGGACGCACTTTCCAATTGATGAAACACGTAACTACTGCAGTGCCGTGCGAACTTGTCGCGCGAGCGGAGATGGCTGTTCGATCTAAACCATGCCACTCCGCTCCATCGCCAACAGGTTCCCAAAATTGTATGCAAAATGTAACTGTCCAGCATACGCCGAAAAACAGTCCAGCGGCACGTGCTTGCCAGGCTGGCAGGCAAGGTACAAGCTATACACACACACCCAAAAAAAAAAAAAAAAAACTGAGCACATTGATGCAAGACATTGCGAGCCACGGTCAAAAAGCTCTTGGAGCGCTTTGTGCAACGACTGAACTCCAGACAAACAAGCGCGCTGTGCGGGTTCAGCGTGCAGATATTGCCTTCTTTGCTTTAGCTCAGTTCTCTTCAACAACTTTATTTCGCGGCAGACTTCTTGTATCAGGGTCCCTCTCGAAAGAAAGCCTACCGAGAGAAACCTAGCTGATCAATACTTCGACACTGCAGTCTTTGAGCTAGGTGAATTTTTGTAGTAGCGTATTAATCAAGAACAGGAATGTTATGAATATGCGGCGGTCTTTGCGTTTCAGTCTAGGAAGCGGCTTATCGCCGCGACGTGCGGACGGCAACACCCGACGTCGCGCGACCACGGTGACTGGCAGGCAGGGACCAACTATAATTTTCCCACCGCCGTTGCTTTTAGGAGAGAGTGCTTCAGCTCACAAAGTAACGCCCGCCACGCGAAAACGGATTTCGTTTCACAGCATGACGGCATGGCTGGTATCCAGAACGCTAGCGTCGGAGCGTCCGCACACGCCCGCGTGTATCGTTGAATTCTTTTTTTAAAAAGACGTGAGGCAACGAGAGCACGAAACGAGAGAGGCGGGAAAAGCCACCGAAGGCCGCCGGAGGAACGACTGATGCAGGGTACCTTGTGTCGGGCGGTCGCTTGCGCCACCTAACTCCCGCATGCTCAATTACGGTACACAGTTTAGTTTCGTTTTTGAAAGGCGACCGAAATGGGTCCTTCGGCGCAGGCTTGGCGCAAATTACCCATATTTTGGCGAAATGTAGCAGGATGTAGCAGGGTTAGCTCCTTGGCGCAGTTTGGCGCAATTGGCGCAGCAATCACATCACTGAATTAATGCGCGTCAACTACACCAAAAGTAGTCCCAAAGTGGCAACGAATGATGTCGCCAAAGCCGGCATGTCTTGTTGTCGGATGTGGCGATCCCAGCGGTCGGCGCCGGACGTCCCGGCAAAAAAGTATGAGCAAACGTGAGTGTTGGCACCGTTGAAGCTACCATCGACCGTCAAGCTGAAGAGGGACCCGCAGCAGAACAGGCGTCTGCCATGTACACCACCGCTGCCAAAACACCGCCAGGATTGTGGCCGGGACGACGCGACACTTCCGCGACTTCCTCGGGTGGAAGTGGAGGGTCCAGCCGGCCCAGCTTACGTTTGCCTCGGGGCGCTTGAGGATCTCCTCACACTTCTGGGCGTCCCCGTTGGCCGCAGCCTTGACCAGTTCCTCGTTCACGTCACCCGTCACGTGGTTCTCGAACAGCTTCTTGAGCAGCGCACTCAGCCGCTCTGATTTCAAAAAGAGACGTGAGAAAACAAAGGGCAGCTGTGTCAAAATATTTTAACTGCTTCCACATAAAAGAAAAGCATGCAGCACATTCAAGGCATGACTACCTGACATGCAACGAGCTACAGTCAAAAGCAAAGCGAATCGGACGTTTCCGCTTAGACAACGTGAGGTCGGTCTGCCTTTGTGATGTTGCGACGCCGGTGTATGGCATGACGAGCTATCCGGTCGAAGCAGTACGACTACCGGCCTAGGGTCTTGCACAGCATTGTGGCGATGCACGACCACACGTCGGTACGACGCCCATCCAAATCGGAATGAGTAGAAGTGAGCTTTAGCCAGTGACAGGTTAAGAATGCAGTACATGCTCAGTCTCTAGCTTGAGCTTTCTGCCTTTGGGAGCACTTTGGCACATGTGCAGCCAAAGCCCAATCCAAGGCATCAAATGCACGCTGGAATGAGAGCTTCTACCGTATTCTTAACCCATTACTGACTGGTCTCGTTATCAAAGCGAACACTTGTGAGAAAACTAGTGAAAGTTTGAGAAGCTGTGGCTGTCTACTCAGAGTAACTGACACTTTCGTAACAATATCTCGCACTATGACTTGTCAGAAAAATTATTCCTCAGGTGTTGACACAGCCGGACGAAATGGTACTGACTAGGTGCTTTCCAAGCAAGCAACACTTTTCATACAAGAGCACACAGCAGTCATTTAATATCTAGATTTTTCAATAGCTGTCTCGCCCCTTTTGCCATGCACCTTGACCCTTAAGTTGTAAAAGGACCTGACGGGGAGGCTTGCCAAGGTGTCCGTATCTGAATTTGTCAATGCTTAAGGGCAAACAAGACTTAAAGGGCAACTCCGGTTGAAAACGAAATCAAAATAAATTACTGGTATCGCTTTCGTGGCACGAAATATGAACACAGCCAAAAAAAATGGACGCATCTCCACGTGGTGAATGATGCTGATTGGGGCGAAGCTCTGGTGGTGCTGATGATACTGATTTTATTGTTCATGGGTAGTGCTGTTGGTGCTGATTTTTTTTATTGCTCATAGGTAGTGTTGAGTTCCGGGTTGCGTTTCAACTTCATTATTACTGCTTTATGGTCGGTGAAATGCAGCACCAGTGGTTCTTCTAGCGGATCAGCTTGGATCCGCTAGAAGCCATAGGAACGCATCTCCACCACTTAAGTCAACGGTCCATGTCAGAAAGAGAATGTGTGGTATGGATCGTGGTTATACACGCAGTTGAGCATTTGACCGCAACGCCCTCTCGTCTATAAACGTTGAGCAAATGCATGCAAAGTTTAACTCGATTATAAATGCATTTGACCGCAGCGCCCTTGGCCGGTATACAGTGGAATCCACTTATAACGATACCACATATAACAATATACCATTTATAACGATCAGTTTCTGGAGTATCTAGACAAGAAATGACCAGTTTTTAGTCCAGGTACAACGATAATCGGTTATAACGATTGCATTTTCAAATTTTCTCATTATTGTTATAGGTGGATCGCACTGTAGACGTTGAGCGGCTACATGCAACATTTCATCGATGACATCCCCAGCTCTTGAATTACTACCACATCTCAAAGTCCCCTACTCGTCCCGCAGTCGTGGTTGAGTGGTTAAGGCGATGGACTAGAAATCCATTGGGGTCTCCCCGCATAGGTTTGAATCCTGTCGACTGCGCAAACATTTTTTTCTTTTTTTAAGAAAACAGATGGGATGGCAATCGATGTAAACACGGACGCCGGACAAGGCTAGACCCTAAGGAGCTTCGCCCCTAATATTACATCAAAGTGAAGCCACATAATCCACTAAAAACCAATTTTAAAGATGTGACCAGCTGTTCTTTAGCGGGCGGCAAGCGGGTTAACTTTTAGTCGAGGAACACTGGCGCAACACCCCCGTGACGTCACGTTGCGGTGGAGCTGTGGTTGATTGGTTGTACCGCGTACCGCAGCACCACGATGACGTCGCGGCCGTATGGCTGATGATCCGTGTTGCCATCCCTCTAGCAGATGGTTTTGGTTTTGTCATAAACGCCCGAAACCAAACTTTGAGCTGTGATATTCATAAAACTACATACAGTATAAGAAAAATATATATATACCTCGTAATTCAGGAACACTGCCTTAGCTGAAAACAGTTGAAATCCCAAATTAAATAAGACTGACTGAAGTTGCCCTTTAAGCATTGACAAACCTTAGGCCGAACAGCCCATCTCTCCAGCTTAAGGGAATGAAGAATTTCCTCCTTCTTGAAGGGGTTATCCTTCAGACCCACGGCATTTGAGTGAGTATGACCAAGGCATATGAAGAAAACTCAGGTCGGATTTTCAGCCCTATTAAAAGTACTAATTTGGTAAGTATGCTATGCGAAACAAAATACCTCATTCTTCACAAAATTCTTACAGAATTAATCTTTCTCAAAGGTCCTGTAATTTTAAACAAACATTAATATTTAATAAAACTGCGAGACATTCACATATATACGGGAAAGTGGACGGGCTCCAGCTATAAAACAATCTCCTTTTTTGTTGTCTTCTAGTGACACAGTTTGCAACATAAAAAAAATAAACCCAACAATCCACTACAGACCCATTAAAGACAATCATACAAAACACTAGTATTTATTCCAAATTATAGGTCGACATTTTTATTAGCAGACCTCGGTGCCTACTTTACCACACGACCCAAAGAGACCAATCATCACGACTTACGAAAGGAGCCGGCAAATGGCAAAACTGAGACAATGTTTGGAATTTTAAAAAATAAAATCTACACAGATCTCATTTTTTGTGTTCCAATGTATCGAAGCCTCGTCCTTCGCCGGGGCTTTTCCGTAAATCACAATTCTTGTTGAGCGTTGCAGGAAAAATACATGAGCAGGCATTGTTCGTAAAAAGGTCGGCCTATTTTCAACTAAATACAGTATCTAGTCTAATCCGCTCTTGGCGTCTCAATCGCGGCATCGCAAACTGGCTCGTAAAATTCAAATCCCGGAAGGGGGGGGGGGGGGGGGGGGGGGGCCAGCGACGGCGAGAGAGGTGGAAAAGGAGCGCCCACCTCCACTGGACACCCCGGAGACCGCTCCGTCGGAGGCCACCTTGGTGACGGCAGCCGGATTGTACGTCCACGATGTCCCGCACACCTCCACCTTCAGGTCGTTGTCGTGGTAGATCTGCTGCACCCGCCCAATCTTGCCCAGCGTCTGCAACACGCGAGGAAGAAACATGTTTGTCACAGGCGCCGATTGCGGCGTTGGATGGACAACTTGTGCGATGGCCGCCGTGCGTTCTAGTAGTGGGAACCCTGAGAACAACCCGAGTGTAACCCCAAGTCCCCAACGTTTCCCTACACTTCGTCTCACTTTAAGGGCTGGTTCGGAAGTTTGCATGCGACTGCGATCAACCACACCAGGAACGCTCGTGACGGCTTGCGACAGCCTATTGTGGAGAAGCAGAGCCCGTAACCGGCCATATCTGGTGGGCTGTATACTGGAATACCCAGTCAGTTAAAGGGGTATTCCAGCTGTTTTTTCAGCTATCCAAACAAAGTGCATTTTCTGAATACCCGGAATTTAGTCTTCATTTGCGGTATGATATTCATTGTATCAAAATTCAAAATAGCCATTGAGAAAACCGCAAACGAACATGATTTCGAAACCAACGTTCAAGTTTGCGCAAGCTCTCCAGCAGTGCGACGTCACAAATGGAACAGACTTTCAGGTCACGCAGGTATGGCCTTAGACGGAGTATGTCGAGCGTTTTTCCGTGCTTCTTGGTGATTGAGCTTCCAAGCGTCCTTTTCCCACCATCAAATGTCTTTTAATCAGTTGGGAACATGGTTTACTGCCCACTTTGCGCAATTTCTGTCATCACACTTCTGTATTGCCAGTAAGGGTTTGAGAAACACAATGAGAGCAAGATTCAAGAATAAAATAACTTCGCGGGAACTTTTTTCTTTCCACACTATACTACAGGGACTGGTACAGCTGCGTCTATCGGTGTGTTGAACCAGTTTTCAGGCAAATCAGCGACCATAAAAATATTGCAAAGTGCCCCTTTAGTGCTGTTGAAAGTGAGCCACGCACTCATGCGCAACGGAGATACACGGGGGCAGACGGAGGCACCCCATTAATTACCAACAATGTTCTCTTCTACTGCTTTGTGATTTTGTGAGTCACTTCATCAAATAAGCGTCGAGGGGAGGGGGAGGGGCCCTCGGCAGTGTTTCAAAAGCAACGATTCCAAGGAAAAATGCTAGATTTACCTCGATCGTATGCATAAAATCACTATAAACAAAATGTTTCTTTTTGTGTTTTTTTGTAATAGTGTTGTGTTGTAGTATCGGTTTCTGTATTAAGTCTGTCAACCTTGTACTGTGTGTGTGTCGCTAGTGTTGTTGTGTATATAAACATGCGTTGGCATATTAATAGTCGTCGTTCGACCGCATTCGCTTGCTCCCCACTTCGGCCTCGGTTGCTACACAACATTGGTGACAAGGATTCATAGTTTTCCCATGGGGCACCACTTCACCGGTAGCTTCTCGGCACGAGTTTTAATGCGAAAGCATCAACTGTCCCATGGAAAGAGCCGCCATTATCAACCACGCGAGACGGCAGATAAATTCCCGAAGTCGCGAACTGAGGCATCCTAGCTTTGAAACCATGCAGAAAGCCACACAAAACGGCAGTGATATAAAGCCGCCGCATGTCAATTTCAATTACCGCCACCCCATGGTGCTGCATGTCCACGAGGCAGCGGCTCCACCGCTCTACGCCCAGGATTAGCGTGCCAAAAGGAGTGCGCGCTCGACAATCGAGGCAAGTACGCCGCAGACGAAATAAGGGTGCGGAGGAACGACAGGCATGCTTTAGCATTCACAACTCATAAGAAGTGCTTAGGTGTACCTCGAGCCTCTTTCTGGGCTCACTCCGTCGTTCCTCCCAGCACTGGGCTGTTTAGCCGCTGCCTGGCCAAAATGGCTACAGATGATCGAGACTTTTCTCCTGGCTTCTGGAGCGTCCGACTACAGAGTTGAGCGTTGCAAGGCCCTGCTGCTGCATAGCCTTCGACTCAAAGGTCAGCAGATTTTCTTTTCGTTGTCGCCTCCGCAACCGCTCTGCCCGCTGCCGTCGCAAAAACTGCCAAAGACAGCGGCGAGACTTCCCAGACACTGTTCTCGTACAACCGAGCCGTCAATGTTTTAACCTGGTGCTTCACCTCTGTGAGCAACGTCATCGTCGAGCGCGATCGGTTCCGTCGTCGCGTCCGGCAACCAGGCAAGCCTGTCCTCAAGTACATGCTGCTGCATTCACTACGAGAAGTCGTGACAAGTTGCTTATTTGCCATCCTCGAGGACCCTCTCCGCAACCAGTTTTTAGAAGGCATCATTTCCCTGCACCTTCGAGAGCACTTCCTTCTCGAAGATTCGGCACTCTCGTTTTTGAGTGCTGCGCACTTGGCACAGCAGCTCGAACAAGCGGCTCGGGAACTCCAAGAGTTCACTTCTAGCCAAGTTCGGCGGGTAACTTTAGATGGGGACAATCGGCGTCGGGCCATGCCAATGCGGCCTCGCTCGTCTTCCCGTCGGCAGCCGTCCCCGCCAATGAGCCCCCACCAACCGCTGCGCCGTGACTCGGCTTTTATATGCACCTCCCATACCACCAGCCAAGGTCAGCCATCTTGTGACCACCGTCGTTCTGCCAGTCCCAAGAGCTCCTGCGGCTCGCCCCGCTCGCCGTCGTTCTGCTTCTGCCGCGGTTCCCGCCTGCATGTGTTTCATCATCACTCTGCCTGGTGCAAGTCAGCACTGCTTTCGCTGTGATTGGCGAGGCCATTTTCGCTCCATCCGCAACAAGCAGTAACACTCGTCCGCGCTTCCCGTGACTGAAGTCGACTGCCATCACTCGTCCGACAATGACGAAGTTTTGAGCATCCTTTCAATCCTTGGCCATGCTCGTGACAGCATTTTTCTCAACATTTTCATTAATGACGAGTCATTGACGTTCCTTCTTGACTCTAGTTCGTGTCTCGATCTTGGCAGATAGCCATTTCCAAAAGTACTTGGCTGCGGAATCACTGCTTTCTGCTCCACGAGTGAAATTGTTTGACTACACCAAGCAGCCTATCACAGTACACGGTTCCTTTTACGCTCACGTTCAAGGGACGTTCAAGGGGTGTCACATTCAAGGGACTAACTGTGCGCCTCCAGTTCTATGTTGTGTTGTGAGGCACATCTCTTATCAACGCCATCTAGGCTTTGGACCTTCACATCAAAGGCTCTAACCTTCGTTGCTTCAAAACAACGTCAGTGCCAGCTGCAGGCAAAACCGACCAGCCCTCCACAACGCAGGTTGATCCTGCACCCTTTCGGCTTTCAAAGGCTTTTTCCAGCAAGTTCGGACCCCTCTTCGCCCCAGAACTTGAACTTGCCAGGGGTTTACTCATAAGGCCCAAGTGCAAGCAACGGTACCACCTGTCACATTGAAGCTTTGATGTCTTCTGCTGTCTCTCTGCCCTCGGGTGTCTGCAGACTTTGGCGTCTGAAAAGCTTGGATGTGATACAGCACGTTAATGCCTAGAGTGGGTGTCTCCCATTGTTATCACGAAAAAAAGTATGGTGGTATTCGACCGAGCACTGACCTTCGCAAGCCCAACAAAGCAGTCGTCATGGACAGTTTCCCTCTTCCACACAAAGAGGAGCTGCTGAACAGTTTAGCCGGCACCGCACATTTTCTCGAAGTTGAATCTCGAGTCAGCCTACCACCGGGTGCTACTTCATCCAGACAACTGTGACCTCGCTGTCTTCATCACGCACGATGGACTTCTTCGTTTTAAGCACTTTGGCCTGGCATCAGCTCCAGCCACTTTCCAACAGATGATGTCACAGATTCTTCAGGGATGTCCCGGCGTTCTTTTCTACCTCGACGACATCGTCGTGTTCGGCAAAATTGAGCAAGAGCACCTGACTAACCTGACAACCGTTCTTCAGCGCATCGAGGCTGTGGGTCTCAAGCCGAACGACAAGTATGTGTTCTGTGTCAAAGAACTCTCCTTTCTAAAACATAAGATGACTGCGGAAGACATCTCACCTTTGCCAGAAAAGGTGGATTCCATTCCAAACACACCTGTCCCAACCAACGCCACTGGTTTATGCTCGTTTCTCGGCCTGGTTGAGTACTATGCAGAGTTCGTCCCCTGCCTTGCCAACATGTTAGAGCCAACGTAAGTCCTGCTCTGCAAGAACCAGCTCCTCATCTGGAGCGATGCTGTCGATGACGGTTTTCGCAAGGCCAAGTTTGTGTCGTCCTCCAGCAAGGTGCTTCGAATGTTCACTGCTAGACTTTCCGCGATCGTCTCCAGAAATGCATCCGACGTCCAACTTGGCACTGTTCTTCAGCAGCTGGACGGTCACGGGCTGCGCACAATCGCCTTTGCGTCCCACATGATTTCGCCGGCAAAGAGGAAGTATGCAGTCGGGAAAAGTGAAGCACTCGCGTGCATCTGTTTTGAGCTAAAAGTGTTCCGAGCTAAACCAGGACAAGTGTTCGCTGTACACAGTGGGACAAGCGCTACGGGTAGCTTCCTAAACTAATCAAGAGCCACAATGATCCCGGCGTCCCGGCCGTTGTATTAGCTCTTGCCAACGGAACCAACGCAAAGGTGCAAATAGGCCTCGAAAATGTAGAAATCGCTAAAAATTTGGAACTTGAAATTGCTCCCTAGATAGCTCCCCTTCAATTCTCAAGGGAACTTCTCGCAGTTTACACCATCCTCTGCTGCAGGTTTGGTGGACATGCAGTTTGTTCCAAAGCGTTAGGTGGGAACCAGCCGTGTTGAACGGATTAAGCGGCTCAAATTTATATGTGCCCAATGACCCCACCCTAGGAGTCTTACAGTTCTCAAGGTGGGAGACTTTACAAATATGGCTCTTAGCCTTTGGTTGCCTATCACTGGAAGTTACTGCCCGCAAGATTAATTTCGAGAAAAAGTGCCCATGGTTGGTAGGCAGCAAACATGAAGGGGCATCATTTTAGAACTGCCTAAGACGTGACCCATTCCACAGGCATAACGGACGTCACAGGTCATCAAACTGGGTTCCCAGGAACCCCCAAAGGTACCAAGAGCTCCCAAATTTCTTTGACCATTCCTGCATTTAGGTAAAGTTTTTTTTCTAGTTTAAGCACCATTTTAGAAGATTTGAGCAATGTGCATAACTATGTGACAAACACTCAACAGAATGTGAACTGTTTTTCTACAAGGTCTGTAGATTTCTGAACTACTTCACCAAATTAATTTCAAGTCTGGGAGGGGCTACTCAGTAATCAACCACGAAAAATCGAATTCCTCGAGATCAAGAAGTTTGAGAATCCCTAAAATAGCGAATAGAAAGATTGAAAAAAAAATGAGAATGGCCAGGTTGGCTGACCATCCACTTACGGGTGCCATGGCTTCTGCCCACTCCCCGTGACCCCTCTGGAGTATCTTGATGCGCTCCAGGTCGGAGCAAATCTGCACCAGGTCCCCCACTGCAAAGTGCTGGGCAGCCGCCTCGGCCCCGCCCGACGCTCCGGCGCTGGAAACGCAAGTCGCCGCCGCCGATGCCGACGCCACAGGAGCATGGTTGATCCTTGTCAGCACGGCTGGGTTGAACGTCCACCTAAATGACAATGAAAAAACAATAAACCGCCATTCATCGCACTGGCAGGTTCCTCGGCTATTTGGGATCCTTCCGAACAATGTGACAAACTCCGAAACTTTCTGACCAGTGCACCAAAGCTGAAAGATCAAAAACCATCGCCACCAACGACATTGTAGCAGGCTTAAACTGATTGATGCGTTGCCATAATGTCCTCACAAAATAAATTTGGATCCAGGTCGCACTTACCTGCAGAGCATACTCATTGCACACCGCAGCTGAGCATGTCGCGACTGACCATTTCTTTGCTATTTCATGTTTATTGGACTATGCTTCTCTGATGTTATCGGAGTTGTTTTTTTCTAGATACTGTATTTATTTGAATCTAGGCCGATAATTTTTTTTAAATGCCGACACATCAACCTCTAGGATCGGTTTAGATTCGAGGATTTTGAAACACGCACCAATTTCCAAGTAAAATTGAAGAAAGTGGCACGCAGCTAGCGCCACCTAGAAAAGAAAGTATTGTAGCCACTACTAGACGAGCCAGTAGCCACTTAAGTGCACGGGCGGTGCCGCCATTTTGACCTACATTGATAGTGGCCTGCTTGCGGCGTGGCGTTTCCTTTTAATCAACAGCGCAATGGCAAGGAAAACAGGTGGTGCCATTATAGTTCCGCTTTTAAAAGAAATTTGTTTTAGCCGTGGAGTTGTCGTCGAACGTTGAAGCCGGGCGGGATTTCAGCGTGGATGAGAGAAATGTCCGTCGTTGAAGGAGGCAACGCGTGAGAGGATATTTGCGTGCGCCACAACGAGGATGGCATTCACCGGACTACGAAAAGGCCGTCACCATGAAATGGAGATGGCATTGGCCGACTTCGTTCGTACGCAGCAAGCAGCTGCCCTTCCAGTAACGACGAAAGTGCTCCAGGCAAAAGTGAAAACTTTGATTGTGCGCTCTTTCAAAAAGTGCAGCATGCGGTTGTTGGTACTGAGGATCGTGCACTGTTTAAAGATGACAGTGATAAACAAGTCAGCAACGAGGCTAGCAGCGATGATGACTCAGAATGAGCACGGCCTCTTCATGTTTAATAAATGCCTTCTTTTTGTGAACGCTGTCCTCGCCTTTTCGTTCGGCCTACATTGGAGGCAAGTTTGTTTTTTTTTTCTTCTGTCTTCGGACTTTCTGGGCTCGGCTTAGAATCGGGGCCGGCCTAGATTCGAATAAATACGGTAAGTTGCTTCGTGCATGACTCGTGCTAAAGATGTGTGACTTTCCAACTGATGTCTGTATGACTCTTGGCCAATAGGCAACAATCACAGTAAACTTACACATGAGTGCAAAGAACCTTATATCAAGGTTCTTTGCACTCATGTTTCAAAGTGTCGGTTTACCTCACCCTGAAGATGTTTTGATAGAACACCGGGAGTTTTCCAAAAATATTTTTGCAGAGTTCTTCGATGAATCTGGTGGAAGGACGGTCCTCTTAAACTGTCAGTAATGACTATTAACGGTGCGCTGAGCTTTGGTCCAACACGAAAGATATATTTGAATTGACATTCTGAGCCCTGACTGATGCCTCAATCCTTTTCGACCAATCGCTCCACATGAGGGACACATGGGGGACACATGAGGAAAGAGAGAAGGGTGCGCAAGCACAGCTTTGATCATCGTTCAAGTACATACCGCCGTATTGTCGACTGCAAAGCCACACAAAGTACCGTCCCCGAGAACAGCAGCTGAGGTAGTTTTAAGCGCCTATGGGATGCCAGCTGCTACACTATGTACTTCAAATAATCAAGGCTCCTATCTTCGCATGATCTTTTGAATTATTTCTTGAGCACCCACATAATATTACCCACAGACGGCAGATTGCATTACTAGTTTAAACACACAGAGAAAACTCAAGGGACATATAAAAGCTGAGATTATTAGCAGAAATAGAACATGGATACCATGGTGACCCAAAGTATCGCAGCAATAAAAAAGTGAAAGCCGTTTAGAACTTTCTGTAGTGCCGAATTAGAGCGCAGCTCTTGAGGAAGAGGAGGGAAGGCTACTGAGGGGAGGGTATACCCTTCCTCCTCCTCCCCTCATCCTTCAATCTCCTCCCCCTCCCCGTCCTTCTCCTTCACCTCCTCCTCCTGCCCTCATCCTTCAAACTCCTCCCCTCGTCCCCTCCTCTTCCCTCCTCTCCCTCCTAGCTCTTAGCTATAAACCTTGAACTCAACATTAGTTAACATGAGACCAAAACATGAGTGTCTCAAACACGCGGTCTGCAGGCCGCATGGGATGCCGCCCGCAAGCAGCCCACGGTTGCAAGCCCCCATTCCCATGCCTCGAGCACCACATGCGCAATAAATAATAGTTTGGTAGAGTCAATAGACTACTTCCATAAAGCCCTGCATGCAACACGGCGCGCGTTGCACTCTGGGAACTAGTTGGCCAGGGAGGAGGGTGGCATGGTTTCGGTTTCGATCGACACGTCGACAAGAGGTCGTTTTCTGGTTCCGAGAGCGTCATTTGTGATCTCTAAACTAACCTAAATGGTCATACCTCGAAGCTTTAGCACAATCTCGAGACGTATAGCGTGTCTTATAACATGCTTGTTGTATTTTTGTACTTCAGCCTTCCAGTTAGCGTTCCAATCGAGGTATGTGGACGAGCCAGTGCTGGGAGTCTCGACGCTGCGAAGCTCGGGGATCTTGCTTGTGTACGAATCAACAAGCTGTAGCCAACAATAAGTATGCATACATCGAGCTCGCACCTTTACATTAGTGTTGTTGATCAGGAAGTTTGTTTGCTTCATGCGTCCACAGACGAAATATTACTTTTTGCCCCCCCCCCGGCTTGCATTCCACTAATATTCAACATCGCGTATGCGCATAAAGTTATCCTGCAATCATATAGGCAAATTCGCGCATACAGACCGTTTTAAGAATGCAAAAGTCGAGCACTTGAGTGAAAAATGTCGCACCGTTCGCCGGAAGTGCGCCAGCCGGGCATGAACCCCTATGCGCACCCCATTGGGGTTGATGCCCGTCCGGCGCACGGTGCGACATTCTTCACACAAGTGTTCGAACGAATTTTAAGTGCATTTGACGATTGCTAATGGCCATAATATTTGTTATGTGTTTGCTTTCTTCCTGCCTGAGTATGCCGAGATAATTTCAGACACACCGTTCCCAGCACAGATCTCGGGCGTCTGTAAAAATTCGTCCAAAAAGGCTTAGCGAGGCAAGGGGACGCTTTTTAGGGCCTCCGTCGTAGCTAGCCGATCTCAGCGTTTGCGAAAAGTTAATCTTCTATCAGCATAAAATTTGAGTGGGAGATATATGATGACACGAGGAAGACATCATAGTAACTTTTGTGCAGTAGTAAGGTTGAATTTATTGCGTTTCCTTAAAAGTTCATGCGTAAACGCTGGCCTCAACTTTGATACCCTGTGAGGATGCGGCTTGCTTTTCGCCCAATGAAGTAACAAGAAGCGGACGTTTGGCAAACAAAATGCCTGTAAGGCTCCAGGCGAACAAATTTCATTTGTAGTTCACTGGTACTAGACGGGATTACTGACATTGAGCTCAAAGATACACTCGTGGGGTGAGGTGACTAAGCCACGACTTACTACGTTCGCATACGCACGCACAATATCCAGTGTTTCGGGAACCAAGGAAAGTGCCCCGGTCTTCGTTTCGCATCGCTCGAGAATGAGTGTATTGTACGTTCGTGAAAAGTCAGATAATCGAAAACGCAAGCAGCGCGTTCGGTCGCGGCGTGATAGCATGAGATGAAGCTGCTCAGTCGAAACCGAAACTAAGTGGCCAACTAGTTCCCAGAGTGCACTGCATGGTATTTCGCCGCGGTGGGGCGCGTCGGTTTTGGAAGAAGTCCATTGATTTCCGCTCAAAAAGAAGCCCTGCTCATATAAATACTGTGCTTTTTTTTTTTTTTTTTTTGACGGAATTTTGTTTTGGTTATGTATTGGCTTCCAAGTTCTTTCTGATGTAAATCAACTGGAATAGCACCACAACTACTAGGCTACAAGTGCAAGCTCTTTGCTCAAGGAGGCACCTCGGCTGCACGAACTTTTGCTCAGCAGGAACAACTGCCGAAGAGAAAGCTATGAGTTTGGGCTTCTAGTGGTCAGAAATACCTTTAAACTGCAAGTATTTCCTTATATTGCTGCTGTAAAAATCGCTAGAAATGCAAATGCTGCCATATGAACATATTTTGTCTATGCCTGCTGAGCATAGTGAATTGTGCGACAGGTCATAGACGGTGCGCTTGTTCTTGCTCTGTCGAAAACTGCCAGTAGGTTCACATTTTAAATCTTTTTATACATCAGGTGGGGGCTCAAAGTCGTTGTACGTGCAAATGAATGATAAAGATGGCAAAACGGTCGGCTTACAAAAAGCAGAAAGCACAAGGTTCCTTCTTCAGAAAATCTCCGGGGTGTCACTGGGACAGTCGGCTGCTTTGCAACGTGAAACACCACTTCTGTTTGCTTGTTTGTTTGTTTTTGTCACAAATTAATAAAATATACATATATAATGTTCTCCCCTCCCCCCCTCCCCATTGGCCCTCATCCTTTCATGAATGAGCTATAAGGCCCCCATACTGGAATGAGTTTGACACCCCTAGTCTATAATAAAGGTTCTTACAGTTCACAATTCCAAGATCCATTTAATTGTAGCCAGACACTTGAAAGGAACACTTCTCTCAGTATCAGCCTTCGAGAAGGAACACCACTCAGCAAGTCAAAGGGAAGGACCCAAACCGACTCACAAAGAGTTTAGAAACTCTAAGAAGACTGCCCACTACGGTACAAGTGACACACATGAAAAGATGTGATGCTGCCTCGCCACGATCCCTTTTAGGTCGTGGCTGTCCAAACACGCACCTGTTCGCACTTGGGTAGGAGACAACGATGTCATGGTCTTCGTCCACTCCGATCACCGTACCCGTCTGTCCAAGGCACTGCACAACGGAAAATGACATGGAAGTCAGCTTTGTACTCCCTCAACCCAAGCCTTGTGCAAGCGGACTATGCTCCACTTGCAGGCCGGCCTAGAACTCGGTTAATATTCTGTACCAGGAACAGAAAAGACCTGGAACACAATGGCACATCTGGCAAGGCAACTCTGCTACATGCTAGCGAAAAAGGGAGGTTGGATGCTTAAAAAGTGTCATTAAAGTGAAAAAGCTTAATTTTTTGCCCTAAACAGATTGCTGGGGTATTTGAAATTTCTAAAAACCCAAAAGACCAGCAAAAAAAAAAAAAACACTTCCCTTAGAGTTTTGTTTTGTAAGAGTCAATGACGAGATTCAAGAGAGGGAGTCGAGAAAGAGAGGGAAGGAAAAAGTCAAGGAAGGGCATCAGCAAAAGGGTCAACAAAGATAGCTAAAGAGGGAGTAAACAAAGATAGAAAGAAAAACTTCTGAGGACACCGAAGCATTCCTTATGAGTTGTGAATGCGAAAGCATGAATGTAGTTCTTTTGCTCCCTTAGGTCGTCTGCGGTGTACTGGCGTGGACGGCCATGTTTCGCTAATGCCGAGGTTGAGCCGACGGCCGAGCGCGCTTACTCGTGAAGCAGCCGTGGCACACTTAGCCCGGCCATGCAACCATTCCGTGCCTGTGCGGGCTCTGCTGGCTCGGCAGCCAGCCACTCCGTCTTACCGGCAGCCGGGCCGCTGCGCCGCCATGGAGAATGCTTCTCTGGTGGCATTCTTTGGAACTACGTCACGCGAGAGCCAATGGGAGCCTATCCATCAGATCGCTGCTAGAGACAACAGGCTTCGCTCCATTGCGACAGGGGAGTTTAGGTGCCGTTTGGCGCGGCTTCAAAAGCTGATAACGCTGGTTCGCTCCATTGGACAGTTAATCCTTTCGCATTAAAAATCATAAAAGAGAGGCAAGGAACAATGCCAAAAAAGGGAGTGAAGGAAGAGAATAAAAGAGGGAGTAAACAAAGAAAGCAAAGAGTCCAAAGAGAGGGGCAAGAAAGAGGATGAAAGGAAGTGAAGAAAGAAGGTGAAGGAGTCGAGAAAAGGAGGACACGGAGAGTACTAATAATAATAATATTAATATTGTTTATTTTATGTGCTAAAAAACAACCACGCAGGTCTTCACATAGGCACACACAAGTTAAGAAGAGACAACACATGCACAGCATCAAATGTACAAATTAACATGACAACAAATAGTGGGCACACTTCACTAGTAAACAATGGGAGTAAACATAAGAAGTAAAGAAAGGGATTAAAAAGATATTAAACAATGGGAGTAAACAAAGTAAAGACATGGGTTAAGAAAGCGAGTAAACAAAGGAAGTAAAGACAGTCAAAAAAGAGGGGCAAGAAAGAGAATGAAAGAAGAGAAGAAGGAAAAGGAAGGAGTCAAGAAATGGAGGCAAGGAAGTTAAGGAAAAGAGCGAAGGTGTGAAAAAAAAGAAGTAAACAAAGGGAGTAAAGAAAGAGAGTAAAGAAGCAAGACCAAGAGAGAGGGTGAAAGAATGAAGGGAAGAAAGAGGAAAAAGAAAGGGAGTCGGGACAGAGAAAAAATAGTGAAGAAAACAGTGTCCCACCTCGTACATCCCATCCGTCCAACCGCCGTGTCCATGCTGCAGGGACTGGACAATCTCCAGGTCGAGATCCACATTCACCTGGTCCCCCACCTGGAAGCCCAGGCCTCCAGACCTGCTCAGGCCCTGCTCACCTGTGCATCACAAACAACATCAGCAACCCCTGCAAGGGTAGAGACTCCTCGATCCTCGGCTTTCATTGTTTCTCATAACCGGCCTGCACAGACAGCTTGGGTCAGCATTCAGCCGCGATTAGTTTCTCTCGCGTTTTAGGTCCACACGTAACACAGGATGAGACTAGGGTGACCGGACATCCCATTTTGGTTAGGACAGTCCCATTTTGGAGATTCATTTCTGCCGTCCCATTATTTTGTCTCAGTGAAGCCTCACGCTCCGCTTTCTAGGAAATGTGCGTACCGTAGTTGCGAAATCAGTACTAAACAACTAAGAATAAAACAAAAAAAGTATATATTTGTTACAGATGTAATATTATAATAAATATAATATAAAAATGTGACGTCCCACAGAACGCAATTCTTTCTAGCTCTTTCTGTGGTTGCCTTGCCAAAAGATTTTGTTCACATAAACATGTGCACAGGAAACTCTTTTTATATTACTGAATTTTGCATGCTTCGGTGGGCAACACTTCTTCCTCATTCTTTAGAAATAGGCAAGAAAGGCACTTGGCTTCTCAACGAAAAAAACTCCGGAAAAATGTGTGAGTTTACACCGAACTGATAAGTAGCATAGCTTTTCTTTCTGCCCTTCCTTTTTTCTTCCTTTCCTTTTAACTGTCCCATTCTCTACCCTGAGGATTATGGTCATCCTTTATAAGAAAATATGAGGAAGTAAGTCACTTTCATGACACAGTCCAATGCAATGCGGCGCCTCGAACCATAACCATGGCTAAACTAGAAGATAGCGAAGTAAGATGTCTCAAATCGTTACAGATGCATTACCTGAAAGAAGAGTGATTTCTTAAAGGGCTAAAGAAAAAGAAAATATAATAACCTTCCTTCCTTGCAGAGAAGAAACATTGCCTATGTTCATATATAGCCTTCAAGTCTTTATAAAGAAAGCCTCCAAAGTTATTTTTTCACTAACCATAGAAGAACCAAGCATTGCAATTTATGCAAGAAGACCAGCAAATCAAGAGGTATAGCGAGCCTTCGGACCCCAAAGAGAGCTGGACTGGGGTTGTGAACACATGAACATCACACTGAGTAGTTCCACTGAGCTGGCCACTTCAGTTCAGACAAAAGCTCCGCCCCGCCCCCGCCCCGCCCCCGCCCCGCCCCCGCCCCCCCCCCCCCCATTTTGCAGGTTTCCTTCCAGAAATGATCGCTATTGGCTCTCACATGCATGGAGATGCAGGGTGCAACCGAAGAATTATGGCACTTTAGTCTTTCACTCACAGTAGTAATGCATCTCCATTTCTCGGTATACAACGCAACCCATCGTTATTCAAAAAAAAAAGGAGAAGAAATAAGATATAAAGTAAAGACAACTGCTCAGGTTAAGGGGGGACACTAAAAATTCTGCAAAAAACATTGATTTTGAAAAATTACATATTTACATCCATCTCCATCCAGAAAGTATTCTCAAAAATTTTCACTAGTTTACACTGCATAGTTAAGTTCTTATAAATTATTTTCTGTCCACCGAAGCTAAAGAAAAGGTAGGGTTCGGAGCACTTTGAACCCATTTTTCTCCGTTCCACTTTTTAGTATAAATTCCATTTTAGTCAATCTATCGTTTGATAATGGCAATACAGGGAAGGCTCATTCTTCACTTTTCCTGACTGAAATTTAATAAGGAATGCGCCTATGGAGTTTGTCACTTTACGGATGCATTTTACAAAAAATGTTGATGTTTTGTCGGAGACACAGAATACCAAAAAGTTGACCAGTTTTGCAGAAGAGAAAATTAATTGAAATCAATACTTTTTTACAAAAAACTTTCCATAGGCGCACCTTCTAGGCATTCTGCTACATATCTAGCGAATAAAAATCTTGATTATTGTGATAGTTTTCCGACGATAGATTAACTAAACAATGTAGGTGTGTTGCTGATAGAAGCTGCTCTAATTTCCTACCCGTTTAACCGACAGACCTGAAACTTTGTTATGCACCCTCTAAACTTTGTTATGCACCCTTAAGGCAAGGGTTTAAAAGTTGAGCCTCCCAGGGTGTGTCTCCCCTTAATAGTAGTCTGCCAAAGGTGTTTGCCACAAAACCATTTGTGTAGCAAACACATGACTAGAAGTAAAAAAAACATGCTCATCATTAACAAACCCCACAGAACTGTGGAAGCTCACCGCAACTCACAACTGCCATCGCGACTTCCCAAAACTACTGCAGGTAGCCTTGCTAGCTTTAGTGAACAAAAAAAGAGCAGCGACCTTTTCTTGTGCAGGCAAAACAGGACGCAAAAGGATGAGCAAATCGAAAGACAAACAATGTGAGTCATACCTAGCAACGGAAGATGATCCCTGTACACCGTGCCTCCTTTTGCATCGTTGACAACCTTCAGATCAGCCTGCAAGTGACACCTGAGGGTTAGTTACAAAATAAACTTCAAACACAACCGAGACAACAATTGGGATAAAAGTCAGAAATTTCCCGAGAAAGTAGGCCTGTAAACTCCCAAACAAACGACCACCCATCACGAGAAGTTAAGCGGTAAAAGTCACATACGGGATGACCGATCTTTCAAATTGCCTCAGCACAAAATATTTTTACAAATATGAGCAGTCAACATCTGGACTCCTACTACCAGTGCTTCCAATTGAGCGGTTTTCCCGCTAAACTTAGCTGTTTTCTGATTTGTCTAGCAGGAGAAATTGTTGTTTTGGGGTTGGCAGCATTTCTAGCAGGCTTTGGGTCGTGTTAGTGTTTTTTCTGGCCTTTTAAAATGTTCTCCAGTTTAAATTTATCTGTCCTTTTGTTTGCTTACTGTTGTCAGTGAGAACAATGTTTGCAACGCCATTGAGATATTACCATAGCCAACAGTGAAACATGCTTTGAACTGATGGGCATCAATGTATGAATTTGTTTTCCAAGTCTGCAAGGCAACATGGTGGGCCCAGCGAACTATAAGCAACAAATCAGAAAAGGGGGGGCTATAAGCTTCTAAGCTTTTAGACTGGTTGCTGGAAGTTCTAAGTGATGTCAGACGATTCGAATATCTTTTGGAGAATATAACTTTTTGAAAAGCATATGAATTTGGTTACTGAAGTTTTGAACTGTCCCCAAACATAACACGGAAGATCCGAACTATCAAGATTGATGTTGGCTGGTGTGACTAGACAGCACACCTGGTAACACCCAGTAACAATGAGATGTTGCAGCGGACATTGCTCTGTACATGGGAGCACCCTCTGTCAAACAGGAGAGCTCCCTTCTAAGGGTTCTTTCATTTAGTGTGCTGTATTAGGACTACGTAATATCCCGAGTCATCGCCCACCCCCCAACCGCCTGAAATTCGTTAAAAAAGTGGGGTGGGCCATGTCTCGGTGGGTGAGCACAAACACTTGAAAAAAACGGAAAAAACCGCCTATTTTTTTCTGCGTATCTAGCGCTGATGCACAAGAGATACATCAAACTCAAAACTCGATTTAGTTTCATTGTTTTATAGAAAACAAATGCTCACGAAAGAATATTTTACTATAGCGAAGTCCGTTGCTTGCATACGCGCTAGAAACACCGCCGATCTGCATATAGCGCGAACGTTTGTTCCGTGAAAGAATGTCACCATTATGTTCTCCTAGTTAGTAAAAAAAAAAAAGAAAGAAAAGTCTACAAGAAAATAGAAAAACCGACGAGGCGCAACGAGCGAGCGGACCAAAGAAGCGACCAAGAGCAATGCTGGGAAAGCGGGAAAGCCGGCGGTCGCGTTGGCAAATACTTTGGCGTCGGGCCAAGTCGGGCGCCTTGTCAGTTGCAAGCTCTTGCGCAACTTTCTTGTTTGGTGCGTACATACGTGAGTCCGTGCACGGCGGGCTATCAATGCACGGTTGGGACGCTCTGCAAACGTCTGTGTAGGGCGTTCCAGCAAAGCTTTATTTACGCTTTGGCTTTGCCTAAAATATTGCACAACAGCGGTCGCGACGGGCGGGAAGAAGGAGCGGGTTTGCGGTGACCTTACTTCGGCGGAGACAGACTTTGACCTAACACTCCGCGGTTACGTTAACAAACTCTTATTTTGTTATCTCCATCGTTTTCTTTTCGCGCGGATACACGACCACTTTGGGGTCACTCGCGGAGGAAATGCGTAAACAAAAAGAAGTGTCTTTCCCTCCTTCGTTTTACTTTGTCACGGACGTCCTCCAACTGTAAGGTCCGCGCCCGCGTCATTCGGGTAGGCGGATCGCAGAGTCCGCGCTGGGGTATTTGAAGGGGTGGGCGATGACTCGGTGTTTTTTCGGAAATCGATATTGGCCCGAAAAATGGGGTGGGCGATGGCTCGGGGATGGGCGATGACTCGGGATATTACGGTAATCACTGCAGTAAATAGTGTTATAAAGTTATTCTCATTCTGCACCTTAAATTTAAGGGTTTCTCAGTATTTCTTTAGCGTTTTTTTATTGTTGATTTTTAAGTTGGTAACACTGTCTGCTATGAAGAAGTCTGGCACTGGCGTGCATGGCGCTGGGGGCGCATGGGAATACACCAAAAGAAGGAGTGCAGGAAGACATGGGCTGGGCATCTTTCGAGGCTAGGGAGGCAATCAGTAAGTTGAAATCTCAAAAAAGGCTAGACACAACTGAAGATACACGGTGAGCAATAAGGGTATATAAGCATGTGTGCAAGAAAAGTATGATCACTCAATGGACAAATCGAACCCGAAAACTGAGATTCAAATACTAACAGTCAAGTGCTGGTGCAGAACAAATTATTTTTGTGAAAAATGAAGTAAAAGAAGCCAAGAGAAAGATGTGAAAGGAAAGAATGCCGGAAAAATCGGCTTTAACTATGTATAGGGGACAAAGACAGGAAATAAGGAAGGAACATTGGTATGATAATTTGTGGGGGTGCTTATTGTTATTCGAGTCTAGAAGGGGAGTATTGAGGACTAGGACATATAGGACAGAGTATGAGGAAATGGGTACGCAGTATGCAGTGGCATAGCCAGGACTTTTTTTTTTGACGGGGGGAAGGGGAGGGGGTCTGAACCCATCTCCCCCCCTGCTACGCCCCTGGCAGTATGACAAGGGGAAGAAGAGACAATAGATCACGTGGTGTTGAGATGCACAGGACTTGCTCCCACCCTCCCGGAGGGGGCAACGAATTTAGCCAGAGCGCTGGGGTGTGCAGACAAGGATGGTAGAATGGGTGGCAAGAGCGTTTTAATAAGAAAGAGGAGATCAGTGATGTCATTGGCCTAAGCCATTTTGGAGCACCTTTTGGAGCAGCCAAAACAGTGTTTTGGAGGTGCAAAAGAGACTTTTGGAGCAGCCAAAACAGTCTTTCGGAGCAGCAAAGGCGGCTTATGAAGCAGATATTTTAAGAAAAATGAAAATATTTTTTTTAAGTGCTGGACAAACGAAGGGCACTTTGTGTTGTGTTGTGACGGAACTCGCTGCTTGTGGTTTGACTGTTCTATTCCGAAAAACCGCTTGCCACCATTTTACTGGTTCCTGACGTGCCAGATTTTCATCAAAAGTAAGCAAGCGTAAAACAATAGATTGCAGGCACCCCGGCTGGCACCTCTGTCGTGCAGTCTTGTTCGCATGCACGTACGGGCAACTTCGGCAGACTTGCAGTTGCACGTGCTTCGTTCTACGAGTGTAGATGTCTGTTTGATCGAAACCGAAACCACGTCTCTCCGTTTCATCGCCAACTGGTTCCCAAGGTTTTATGCAAAATGTAACTGTCCAGCATACGGCAAAAAACAGTCCAGGGGCACATGCTTGCCAAGCTGGCAGGCAAGGTACAATCTAAACACACACAAAAAAAAAACCTGAGCACATTGATGCAAGACATTACGAGCCAGAATCAAAAAGTTCTTAGAGCACTTTGTGCAACAACTGAACTCGAGACCAATAAGCGCTATGTGCGGGTTCAGCGTGCAGACATTGCCTTCTTTGGTTTAGCTCACTTCTCTTCACCAACTTTCTTTCGCGGCAGATTTTCCATGCCCTCCCTCTCAAAAGAAAGCCCACTGAGAGAAACCTAGGTAATCCATACTTCGACACAACTGTCTCTAGATAAAGAGGGACTTTTGTAATAGCGTATGATTTAAACACTCAAAGGACTGTTGATAAACATATGGTGGTACTTATGTTAGTTTAAAAAGCGCCATATCTACAGCGACGTGGGGCAGCTACACCCGACGTCGTGCGACCACAGTGACTGGCGGGCAGGGACCAAATATAGTTTTCCCACTGCCGTGGCTTTCAGGAGCGAGTGCTTCAGCTCATAAAGTAACTCCCGCCGCACAAAAACGTGGCTTCGTTTCACAGCATGACGGCATGGCTTGTACCTCGCACGTTAGCATCGAAGAGTCCGCACACACCCGCGTTTATCATAAAAAAAATTAAAAAAGGCGCGAGACAAGATTCACGAGACGACGAGAGCGCGAAAAGCGAGACGGAGTCAAAAACCGTGCAAGACCAGATGGAAGATTGATGCAGGGTACTGTGTGTTGGGCGGCAGCTTGCGCCACCTAGCTCACGCATGCTATATTACGGTGATTCTTTCAGTTTCGGTTTTAAGACGCGATTGAAATTGGTCCTTTGGCACAGGCTTGGCGCAGATTACTCATACTTTAGCAAAATGTAGCAGGATGTAGCAGGGTTAGCCCCTTGGCCCAGTTTGGTGCAGCAATCACATCACTGGGAGATTGGAAGACTGATGGGCATTATCTAGGGAGAATTGAATGACGTAAAACTAACTGACACACTGACACAGCTGGTGGGACAGGCGGGACAGAGAAGAAGTGGGACTCTCCCCACGTGGCTCCGGCCCAAAGTCTCCACCCTGTATCCCAGTGGGCTTGGTGACAGGGTAACGCCAACTAGGATTGACCAGAAGAAAATTGGCGACTCCATCGCCAGGGGGAAGAGAGATGTTTTTATGCCCGATCCCCCAAAAAACATCCTGGTGATATCCCACACAGCCTGGTGATACATAGTTACGAAATTGCAGAGGGTAAGCGAATTGGTAAAGCAAGGAGATCATACTTTTGGTTCTTAATTTCTAGACGAGGTGGCACAAGCTACCACCCATTGTAAAGGGTACTGCCATTAGCATCAATCCATCCATCTGTCTTTTTAGACTTCAGCTAGGCGGTGCAAGCTACCGCCCATTACAAAGGGTTCAGCCATTAACATCCACCCATCCAGCATGACACGAGAAGCGGATGTGGACATGGCAAACTTATTGACTTTATCTATCAATAGGAAAATCATTTTCTATGATTCTAAGAACAATAACAATACCCGGGGCAACCCAACACGGTAGGGGATGCTTGTGTCAGTAAACTACCTGGCTGCATGCGTCTTTTGCTGCCACCATCACCTAGGCGACGCAATCTGTCACCTGATATGGTGGTGTGTGCAATCATGTACATGTACTCACTCATGCATGTATCACCAATTTTCTCTTCTTTAAGCCTTTCAACATACCTATTTTTTTTTTTTTTATTTAATCACAATGAGCTGACATATCATGAAGCAAACGAGATGAGAAATCTTGGGTACTCCTTTGAAGCAGTGTTTGTTTCACACATGGTTATCCTCTTTTTCGGTATGCTGCTATCATGGCAAAAATATAGCGTGTTGATTATCATTTCAGCAATGGCCCAATATTTTATATTTTTACCTCAATGTTACTCAGTTCAAAACCCGTTCAAAACACCAAGAGCGAGGCAGCTGGCAGAAATACCGTCACATGCTGCATGAATTTAATGAGCAACGTTCAGGCGTTTTTCCCCCTAAGAATATTTAGTCAGAGAAATCTGACGGGTTTTCTTTTCACATGGACATTCCTTCGGGACCTTACAGTAGTCATATCTACCTTGGATACGTAGATATGACTCGCAGAAATTTAGTGTAAAGAGTCTGCTCATATTATAACTATTTCTTTATGTACAGTACAAGTTTGAAGACTGTATTAATTGTGAAAGGGCGTGCCCTGGTGTTTGACTGTTTCAATTCTGAGTGCAAAATAAAGTTGAAATAGAGCCTCATGTGCAAGCCTTACAAGCTTATGTGGGCCTTTATCGTAACTGCATCTGAATTATGAAATAAATATTGCATTGTATTATTACACTCTATTCAGAGAACTCCAGCAGCAATTTCTGCTGAGTGGCTCAGACCCCAGAAGCTCAGCTGGGACCCGCGTTACAATAGCGAGGACACAAGTGTCAGCCGAACGCTAAATCTGCATTCCCGCTCGATCTGTGCCCCGGGTTGTCCTTCATTAGGTGACGTAGGAAGCTCAGCGCTATGGCCTTCCAAAACTAGGACATCGGTTCCCAAACTGGGTTCCTAAAGACCCAGGTTTTACCCGGAGTACCTCTGCGGGTTCCCCGGACTCCCAAAGTGCCTCGACTACCCCCCTCCAAAAAAAAACGTGTTTTCTAGATTAAACACTATGTCAGCAGGCCTCAAGGCATCCAAGGATGCAGAACTATGAGCCAAACACTTCTTAGTATATCCATTATATTTTACCAGATTTGCGGGCTTCTGTACGGCTATGGTTCGACGGTCTCAAAACCCAGAGGGGCTCTGCGGCCGTCAATCAAAAAAGGTAGGTGCTCCTTGATACTCAAAAGAACCCCTCATGCCAAGTATGTAAAACATATGCAAGCATTTCAAGAGTGCCTGTTGAGAAAGGGCGTATCACTCACCATTCCCTCGAAGCCGACACGGTAGAGGTTCTTGGCCCCGTTGTCCCAGACGACGTATGCGGCACTCCGAGGACTGGCTGCGCTCCAGTCCTGGATCTCAGTGACCTTGCCCCGGCGCCCGTTGCCACCGTCTTGGTCCTCCCACTGCCAGTCGACGCCACGGACGACGCGGGCGCTCGGGAAGATGCCCCGCACGCCTGTCTTTTTGCTTTTGCGGCGGGCCTCCAGCAGGGTCCTTGACACGTGAGTTTGGGCAATGGGAGATGGATTAGTATGACACTTCTGGCACTCTAGACCACGGACTGTACAGACTGAAATCTTCTATGTTTACGTGGTGCTCACTATCTGCAGGTGCAGACTATAGAAGGATTTGTTTTTTGAAGGTTGTTCATTATGACGAGGCATGATGACAAAATTTATGAATTACAGATTATGTTAATTTTTTCAGTACTATACAAGATTTCTTGTGTGATAACAAGGCGGGCATTTCTTCAGGTGTGATGTGTAAGAAAATTTCTTTATCTGTGAGCTGTGCACCGACGCAAACTCCGCACAAGGTGTGGACAATCTAAAGAAAAGAAATTCATTTTCAACCAAACTTAGACTTAGCAATTTTCAGCAAATAGGGTACATATTAATTGTTGTACATAAACACTGGTTTGTCGCAAAATGATTTGTTGGCCTAACTGGTTAAACATTACGAAAATAAAAAGCGCGATAGACAAGGACAAGAGGGAGACTACACAGGACAAGTGCTTGTCCAGTGTAGTCTCCCGTTTGTTCTTGTCTATCGCGCTTTTTATTTTCATACTGGTTTGTCCGCTGACATAGACTGCTCTCACTTCTCCAGGTGCTGCTAGGACAAGCTCAGTGATGTGATTGGTCCGAGTCATTTTGGAGCAGCTCTTGGAGCAGCCAAAGGTCAATTTTGGAGCAGCAAAAAGAACTTTTTGTGGCATCATTCTTATTCATACCAATGCAGACATGATGTTAAGATTAATGTGTCGGCGCGTCCAACTAAAAGGTAATGTCTACATTGCCTTCTCACTTAAGTGCAACCCCTTGTTCGCATCCATTGCACAGCAGGAGTGAGTCCCTCAAACACAAAACTAGCGTTTAGTTTGCTTGGAGAAGCACCAGACACGGTGAGAAGGTGAGTGGAGAAGGACAGCGCAAACTGTTTTGAATGGTTATTTTAGGTGCTGAATCTCACGGAAATAATACACTAATATGGAGCCCATAAATTAATGGTTCCTTCGAGTTCTTCAGGTTGTAACAAAAAAGCAAATTTTGGTTCAGATAAAAAACAAAGCACTTGTCATCTGATTATGATCGTCAATTACTTTTTCGTGTAGAACTTCATAACAACAACGGTATGTGAATAAAACTTAAAAAGAATCCCGTTGAACTCATTAAGGTTGTTCCCGAGCTTCCATCCACTGTTCCTGCCAACTCAATTCTAACTTAATCACATTTATATAAAAGTGATAGCTAAACAAATCAGAGGTCATAAATAAATAAATAAACATACAAAAGAGCGCATATAAATGTTCCTGGACTACCGAAGTATCCTCGCTAAATTCCATTATGGAAAAAGGTACCGCCAGGGTATCGTAGTCTATCATACATACGAGCCAAAGTTGTATTCGGAAATTGTGTCGCGTCTCGCTCTGGGGAATGCTTTCCCCTTAGCACGGTGGTGCGCTGCGGCGAAGCAAGACACGTAAAATCGCAATGCATACATTGCGGTTTTCGCTTCTCTGCAGTACACCAGTGCGCGAGGAGAAGCGCACTCGACCATACTAACTAATCCTCCAGCAGAACAGACGACGAAGATGAGAATGATTGCGAAACTTCCCAGTATACTGTCAGCCTTTCATACGAAATGCGATCGAATAGTACTTCATCTCAGAAGATAGCCAAAAGTTCTGAGAATTCGCATAAGCATATATGTATATCGTAACGGCCCGGCCGAGCAGCGAGGCCTGAGCTATAATACTTTCAGTATCATTAAAGTGCAACGTTGCGTCAAAACTAAATTTGGCGCAACGTTGGCGCAAATTTCTCACATTTTGGTAAAATGTAGCAGGATGTAGCAGGGTAAGCACTTTGGCGCAGTTCGGCGCAAATGGCGCAGCAATCACATCACTGCAAGCTCATACTCACCTAATGTTGCTTGGAACCACCCACAGTGGGAGAAACTACGTCATAAACCCAGTTTTCACAGAGTTTTTAACAAAATGCGCAAGAGCGAGGATCTTGCCGGAACTGCGTGGGTTACAAAGAGGGACCACATTGTGCCCGTGGTTATATTAAAGGGAAGCTGAACCGAAATTCGTATTTCACAAAATAAGCTTGCAGAAGTTTTCAATAGGGCGCCATAAACCGCGAAACATCACTCATATAGCCATATCACGAGCGGATGGCCGTATGTCTGGAAAATAAAAAGGCGAATGATGGAGAATGTTGACATCATCTTGTCAAAGAAGAGTTGAGGAGAAGGAGAAATGGCCTCGCTCCCTTTCCTCTCCGCACCCTCGCGCAGTCATTGGAAAAGAGGAGGAAATGAGAATCGCGAGGTCATGCGTCTTTTCGGCCTTATGCGAGCGCGCTCTTCTTTTACAAAAATATGACGATCCATTGGAGATGCTGTCTTATGAGTGTCGTTTGGGGATTTGCAGTGATGTGATTGGCCTAAGCCATTTTGGAGCACCTTTTGGAGCAGCCAAAACAGTGCTTTGGAGCAGCAAATGTGGCTTTTGGAGCAGCCAAGACAGTGTTTTGGAGCAGTAAAGTGGCTTTTGGAGCAGCCAAGACAGTGTTTCGGAGCAGCAAAAGTGGCTTTTGGAGCAGATATTCTTAGAAAAATAAATATATTTGTTTTAAGTGCTGTACAAATGAAGGGCACTTTGTGTTTTGACTCCTGTAGTGTTCTAATGTGACGTGTTGTGACGGAAGTTCCTGCTTGTGTTTTTACTGCTGAGACATCCAACAAGTGTACAGTGTTGTAGGCGTGGCCGAGCAAATCCGAAAAACCGCTTGCCACTGTTTTACTGGTTCCCGGCGTACCAGAGTTTCGTATAAAAAAGCAAACGTAAAAAAAAAATTGATTGCAAGCCTCTCGGCTGGTGCCTCTGCCGTGCAATCAAGTTCACAAACTCGTGAGGGCAACTTCAGCAGGGGTCGTGCAAGCGGAGACAACGGCTGTTCAATCGAAACCGAAGCCATGTCACTCAGCTCCGTCGCCAACTGATTCCCGAAATTGTATGCAAAATGAAACTGTCGAGTATACAACAAAAAAAATGCAAGCCGCGCGTTCTTGTCAGGCAGGCAAACAAGGTACAAGCTAAAAACATAAAAAAATTAAAAAAGAGCCAGAACGCATCGATGCAACACATCACAAACCAGGGTCAAAAAGTTCTTGGAGTGCTTTTTGCAACGACTGAACTCGAGACAAACAAGCGCGCTGTGCGGGTTCAGAGTGCATACATTGCCTTCTTTTGTTTTAGCTCACTTCTCTTTACCAACTTTCTTTCACAGCAGATTTTTCACGTACCGGAATCCCTCTCAAAAGAAAGCCCATCGGGAGAAACCTAGATAATCAATACTTCGACACAGCTGTCTGTAAGTTAAAGAGGGATTTCTGCAATAATGTATGATTTAAACAAGAACAGGAATGTTGATGAACATGTGGCGATACTTAGTTTCGTTTTAGAAAGCGTCATATCTGCGCAATGTGGGGACGGCAACACCCGACGTCGCGCGACCACGGTGACTAGAAGGCAGTGATCAAATATAGTTTTCTCACAACTGTTGCTTTCAGGAGCGAGTGCTTCAGTTCACAAAGTAACTCCCGCCGCCCAAAAATGTGGTTTCGTTTCACAGCATGACGGCATGGCTGGTACATGGTACGCTTTAGCGTCGGAGCCTCCGCACACACCCGCGTCTATCATTGAAAATATTTTTAAAAAAAAGACGCGAGACGAGATCTACGGGACGACGAGAGCGCGAAATGCCAGATGGCGGGAAAACCATGCAAGACCGGATGGACAATGGATGCAGGGTACTTTGTGACGGTTTGCCGCTTGCGCCACCTAGCTCACGCAAGCTCAATACGGTGCTCAGTTTAGTTTCAATACTAAAAATCGAACGAATTTTTTTTTTTGGCGCAGGCTTGGTGCAGGTTACCGATATTTTGGCAAAATGTAGCAGGATGTAGCAGGGTTAGCCCCTTGGCACAATTGGCTCAGCAATCACATCACTGGATTTGTAGCGTCCCGCCTATCGATTCTGCATTGTTTTCTGAAATTCTATTTTCGGTTCAGCATCCCTTTAACTGAGACTTCAACATTGTTTCTTTTTCGTTCCTGCATATCAAAAGCACACTCAATGTTTTCTTTTTTTTAAGGCGGCAGTTAACACACAAAAGCAATGACAACAAAAGAGTGAGTAAGAAAATCGCACATACGTCCACAAATCAGTCTCCAGTGGACTTCGCCGGTTTCAAGGGACTGGTTTTTGTGAGATTTGGAGGGCGGCATTGAGTTTGCAATGTAATTTGTTATGTGTGTGGAAGACGGAGTAGTTTTAGCAATCCCCCAGTGGAAGGCATATAAAAAGGCACGCCAGATAAGCTTTAAAACAATGAGTTGAGTTTGTTGTTGGAACCCTACTGTATGCAAAGACTCCTATTCAAAGTCTAGATATGTCTTGAAAAGATGCCGGGCAATGTGTCTTTAGATGTCTCGAACAGCTACAAGACGTCGTCTAACAAGCCTTACAGACGTATTGAAGACATATATCAAAATGTCCAGAGATGGCAATTTATAGACTCGAAAAGAAATGTATAAAATGTTTTGTAGCCGCTGATTTCCTAAGCCATACTTGGTCTACTGGGCATTCTAAAAGATGACTTTACGATAGATGAAAAACTGCTATGAGACTTATTTGCTAGATGTGTGAAAAGGATGCCTGCATAGTTGCTACATGTGCGCTTAAAACAGTGACACTGCAAGCTTTCCCGCACAGATTCTATTCCTGCTACCCAAAGTTACTTTCTTTGTACACATACAAAACATTTAAAAGGTGGTGTAGCCTGAAGCCTTCGGGCGCTTCGGACAACAACAGTGCCCGAACGCTTGCCCTTGCAACGCGAAGTCCGGGCACTCAGCAACGATCCGCACCTCTCACTTCCCGGCGTGGCGATGCGGAAGAAGCGATGCCGCAGCTGGTGCTTGTCTCCGTGGTAGCACATGGAGCAGAGGTCGTAGTTGGAACACTCGGCGCACTTCCAGCGGATGCCGAAGATGGGCTGCTGCCGGCAGGTGTCGCACATGGTGCCCTCGTGCTTTATGCCTGACCAAGGGAGTAACAAGTATGGTAAATAATTGGCCTACACTTTGTTCACCATAAAGGCTGGTTCACACTTTTGCGTTTGAGTGCGCTGTGCTCATTTGGAACCGCTTACAATGAGAGGGCGCCATCTATCAGATCCTGAACACTTCCAATCGATGTATGACTACACTGAAGGTTCTGTAGCACTAGCGAGGCACACTCTATGCATTGTCTATAAAAAATAATTGCTTACAATATTGTCAAAATTCTCCCACACCCGCAGTCGAAGAATGATGCGTAAAAAATTATTAAAACATGTACGCAGGTCAGAAGTGCTGCAGGGCTACCTGATAGGTGGTGCCAGTATGCCAGCTCTCTATAGACCAGGGGTGGCCAGGCTGACCAGGACTAAGAGCCGCAAACGAAACCACGAATCTTCTAAAAGCCACGGGGGGGGGGGGGGGGGGGGCAAGTTTAAATTTTGTTTAGAGTTTGACTGTATGTATGAGTGCACAAGGCTGTTTGAAAGCATGTATGGAGGTACAAGGCTGCCGAACCGCGAGCCGTACTTCATTGTGCCTGAAATCCCTTCTTTTTTTCCTGGGGAAATGCGGGAAGGGGGAGGGGGGGGGGGGGTTCCTTACGAGGGATCTGCGAGCCGCACTTGGACCAGCAAAGAGCCGCATGCGGCTCGCGAGCCACGGTTTAGCCACCCCTGCTATAGACGATTGCAAGCAAAGTGGCTGGCCGCTGCCATGCCTTTGCTCGTGCAGACAAGACCGTGCATTTGCAAGTTTCCCAAAGCTGTGTTGAAGCGCAAGCTGCATGTGCCTGCACACATGGGGCACCAGTCAGGGTGCCATGCTTGCAATTGGCTAGGGTGGCACAAGCCACCGCCTAATTTAAAGAGTTCAGTTGTATCCGTCCATCCATCCATATTAAAATTGATACCAATTTTTAATAGAGAAACTGGCCACACATGAATGTGATGTTTGGTTATTTGGGATACTTAGAGACTATAGATTGAGTCAAAAAAGCATGAGTAAAGGAAATTGGAAACAGTGCGCAAAAAGACGAAGACAACGAGAGAAGAGCACAGGACAAGCGCTGACTATCAACTATCAACTGAGTTGATAGTCAGTGCTTGTCCTGTGCTCTTCTCTTGTTGTCTTCGTCTTTTTGCACGCTGTTTCCAATTTCCTGAGTCATGAACCAACTCGCTTGCATCGCCACCTCATGAGTAAAGGAAAAGCTACAAGAATAAGTGCAACGCTTTGAGCAAGTCTGCCATTCGTGCACACTTGTCAAAATGAAAATGTCGCTCAAGACAACATGACTGTGCTTGTAGCATTGGCTACACTTGCACTTATGGTGAAACCGAGTGAATTCTGTAAACCATACTTAATTGGGCTAGATTGGGAATCATACTTAAAATAAGAAACGGGGACGAGAAACGACAGACAAAGAGGTGCAGTGGATGGGTACCAAACTGTCCACCGCAAAGCAGACAGCGTTATGGCTTTTACTTTGTTAACTTGTTCGCCATTCGGCACGGTTTCCTAATTGAAGCAACAATACTTTCTTGCAACATAGCTAGACTTGTTAGCGAAAAAAGAAGTAACTGATCAGAGCAACTCCTAATCAAAATTACGTTTGGTAAGAGTACTCCGTTACTTGGCACCGTGAGTAAGTGATGTGTAGGATAGTCAAGAAAGAAAATGAAATGGCATGTGTCGATGTCGTGCGTGAAAAGCCAGGACAACCACTTGGAACACAGAGAGTTGCCCAATCCAGCATTTAAAGAGCTTTTCTTGTTACACCCTGCAAGCCATAAAATTAAATTCATTATCTGGGATTATCCTGACTCTCTTTTCCTAGATATGAGCTTCGGTGTAGCCACAACTTTTGCGAGCCCCAATTTTTTTCACAAATCATGTGAATGGATAAATTTCTGAAATTTAAAAATGCTCAGAAACATCCTGACACGAGCATCTTGCATAAAACAAGGAAACCAAGTTTTGATGGCATTCACAATCAAAAACCGTCTCCAAATGTATCAAACCGATGCCCACACTCGTTCCAGGGTTCATACTACATGCGAACGTCAATTTAACCCATTAGCGCCCATTTTATTTTAAAAAGTATATGCACGTTTTAATTTTTATAGCATTGGAGATTCAATATTTTGTTTCTGTTAGCTTCGTTTTTTGACCCTAGATGTCGGGTCTAGACTTCTAAATAAGTAGTCCGCACCTGCGTTCCAGTATTACCACTCTGTCTACCATAGAAAGTTGGGAAACATGTGGACAGTGAAGACGCTTCGGTAAGCCAACTGTTCACATTTTCTTCTGGCCGTATTAGGTCAAATTTCGTTTCGATTTTTGATGACATTGTTTTAGTATAGAGCAAATACAATGCTGCATACTTTGGTTTTCATGTTCCATGTTGTATTTTCATACAATGACTGACGAAAGATAGGTGTACTTTGCATAGTACAATGGGTTTTTGTCCATGTTTTCTTCCAGTCTGCAGCCGGTATGAATCCCGCTATTTTCCTCGAAAAAAAAATGTTTTGCCGGTTCAGCAACGCTTTAGAAGCAGCTCTAGACGTTGTCCAAGATGCCGAAGAAGACGCCAATGTCATCACTACACCTCCTGACCCGTCACTTGGCACGGACGAAGAAGAGGGAGATGATGACGCCACCAGTAGTATTCAAGTGAATGATGTCTCAGGTAAGAGACTCAAATTTTATGAATATTGAGCGGGTCTTGTCAACATTCGACATAAAAACTGAATGTATGTATGATTGTTTTAGGTACACTAAAAGTGCACCGCCAAGTGAATGAGAAGGACACTGACAACCAACCACGGCGTGCGAAGCAGGCAAAGCTCACAAACCCAAGCTGGAAGACCAGCAGCCCGGAGTGCTCATGGTCATCTTCAACAAATGGGGTTGAACAGCCTGAAGAGATTCTGAAATCTGACATCTTAGGCATGTCTCCAAACGAAATATTCAGCACAATTATGGATGAAGTACTTGACTCACATTGTCATACAAACTGGCACGTACGCCAAGCAAAAAAATGAGCGTGGATGATTAGCCTAGATGATTTGAGAAAATTCATCAATATTCTTTTGCTGGGTGGATACCAAAGCTTCCCAGTCAACAGCTGTACTGGTCGCTTGATGACGACGTTGGCACCGCGTACGTCTCCAAATGCGTGAGCAGGCGGCGGTTCCTTTACGTAACGCAGTTCTCGAATTTAGCTGACAATGACCTGCTTCCAGGAACAACAGGTAAAATGTATAAGGTGCATCAATTCGTGAACTTGCTAAACGAAACGTTCAGGCAACATGGCATTTTTTCACGAGGCACTCTCTGTTGATGAGCCTATGGTGAAGTACCTATGTCATCATCCTTCCAAGCAGTTCATCAGAGGGAAGTCAATTCCTTTTGGATACAAGAACTGGATGCTGTGCAGTGCGGAAGGTTACTGCTACGCATTTGACACTTACTGCGGAAAGCACCCCACAACAGACACGAGGCCGCTAGGAACACGTGTTGTACTTTCACTACTTGAGGCCATTGCAAATCCCACAAACCATGTTCTGTTCTTCGACAATTTTTTCACCAGTCACGGCCTCCTTGTTACGCTGCAGCAACAGGGATTTCGTGCTACAGGAACAATCCGTGAATTCGCCAAAACAATTGTCCCCTCGCCTCCAAAAAGAAAATGGAATGTAAGCAGAGAGGCCAATCGCGTTTGTGTTTCGACCCAGACGCTGAAGTACTTTTTGTAAAATGGAAAAGTAACAGTGCAGTCACTATGGCAACGAACTACGACAATATTGGGCCAATATGCTCTGTAATACGGTGGTCTGCTGCAGAGCAAAGAAAAGTGAGCATGCTGCAACCAAAGCTGTTCACCAGCTACAACAGTGGGATGGGAGGCAAAGACCTTTTAGAACAAGCCACGAACAACTACTGGATTGGTATTCAGGGAGGAAAATGGTAATGGGTGCTGTGTACACAGATGCTCAATTTAGCGGTGGTAAATGCATGGTGGATTCACCAGATTACAGGAGACTCAAAGCTAGATCTTCTGGCATTCACCAGGATTATTACTCGCTCCTATCTGCGTCTAGGTGTGGAGAACCTAGGAGTGCAAAGGGCTCTTGCATCGGTTGGCTTGGATGTTGTGCTGGACAAAACTGGACGCTTCCCATATAAGCTCCCAAAGCAATTATGTTGTCAGTCTTGCCACCAGAGGTCGATGTGAGCCTGCGAGAAGTGCGATCTTACTCTGTGCCTGAAACATGTTTGCTTCAAGAAGTTTCATGTGCAGAACTGACTCCCACTGGAATTGCCTCTATAAGAGCCCATTGTACTATATAAAGTATGGTGCCATAATATTGTAAAAAATAAATGAATTCTCATGAAAATTTTCACATGTTGTTCCTGCACTTACATACATGTGTCCAAAATTTAAATCGAATTGGGTAACTAGAGATTTCATGGGCCTTAATGGGTTAAATGATGCGTCACGCGTGCATCGTTCGACGTTAGTCACTGAAACGGACTCTACGTGCTCATATGCTCACGAGATCAATCAACAAAGCAACGTACACGATCAAGGCGACCCGCGTCCAAAAACTATTTCCTTGTGAGGCGATCACGCTGGTAAATCCGAAGACGAGAGACACAGGAGTAGGACAACCCCAATGGACACAACAAATTGGTAGAGTCCAGTGATGTAAGGAGGTAAGCTGAAGTAAAACCGGCAACCCAACGAAATCGGTTAGAACCACTCGCGTCGTAACGAAGAATGTTCACTTCCTGGCAAAGACTGAAAGACCGAGTCGATGTCAGAACGACGAGCGGATGACGCTCAAGACTTCATTTGTTTGACACGGGAGAGGAGACCTACCTGTGGGAGCGCTGTCGATGATACGCAGGTCGTAGGTGCCAGAACATCGATAATTGGCAGCAGTACCGTTGTCCCAGACGACCACGACTTCCTCGGACGATTCGAAGTTCCGTACCGTGCCGAGGTGTCCGTCGCCGCCGTCCTGTTTGCCCCATTTCCAGTCGGGTCCCCGCATCACCCTGGACCCGACGCCGTCCATGACATTCGTCCTGTTAGTTCGAGACGGCCCGCAAGAATCCATGTTTAAAAATAGGGCATCGTCTCGAAAAGACAGACAAGAAGGGAGTCGTGAATTTGGTTCGGCAAAGGAGCTTTGCTTTGCTTTTTTGGCCCAGCTCCACACACACACACAACGGGCGCACAGTGGACGAAAACAGCCCGAGAGCTTTTTGAGTGAGCGCGCACGTTCACGTCCGGAGCGAGATTTTTCGAGAGTGCTGTCAGGCTTGGCCATGTTGAAGAGAAAACTTAAAGTGGCGCTAGCTGTTGCTAGCGCCACTTTAAGTTTTCTCTTCAACCTTTGCGCTTTCATATTCATAATTTGTAGAACTTAGTTGCCTCATTAAAGCCTTAAAACGTGTTGGCCTAGAGTCCTAGACACTCGCTGATATCGCCTCTATGGATAGCGCAGTTCTATGGGGGCTGTGCGGCTGAAGTTTCGCCGCGCATACGTAGCGCCACTCCTCCCCCTGGTGAGGCGCGCCCATGCTTGTTAGCAGCACGACGAGCAGACGACGCGGAAGGCTGGTGCGCTTGTTAGGGTGACCACCTTCCTGCCGTCAAAATGCGGGACACGCTGACCCGGCGGTGGGGAGGGGGGGGGGGGGGGGGGGGGTAGGTAAGGGTAAGAAGAGGAGGACGTCATTTTCACGACCGAAGAAACAAGTATTAAAGAAAATTCATCAGCACTCACCCTTTGAAATCCTGTGCTGACCGGAAGAATATTATACAGCTAAAAATTGTAGTGCGGCAATTGTAATGGTAAATATTTTATTAAAGGTGTAAGTTAAAATGTAAAAATCATTAAAAGGAACTACGAAACAGTAAATTGTTTTCGGCTTGTTGTTTTCTGGTCGATGCATACTCTTATACTAACTTGCTCCTACATAAAATTAGAGCCGTGTGTTCTTTTTTTTTTTTCGACATTTGGGAGTTGCAGGCTTTTTGCCTTGTGCAGCCATTTTTACAAAAAAAAAAACCTTTTTAAAACAATTTTTTTTTTGCAAGACACAGTATGATTTGCAAATTTTTCAATAGTTTATTTTTCAACTTTTTGCGAGCAACTTTCGCTTGCAATATTTTGCCTTCAAGGGGAGAGGCACAATGGCGCATGCGTGTCGGACTCCTGCAAGAACGACGGTCGCTTCCCGCAGTGTTTGGATAGAAAATGTCATAACCATCATGATTCACACGCTTACCAGCGACCTCCGCGCTTCCCCGTGCCCCGTTGTTCGAAAGCGGCATAATTTGCGTAGTGAATGTTACGACAATGTGAAATGCGGGACATTTTGAAGATTTTCATATTTCTTGCGGGACGCGGGACGGGTGGTCACCCTAGCGCTTGGCGTGCCGGCCTCGCGCTTTGGAAAGTAATGTACCGAATGCAAAAGGTACTCAAATGCCACAGCATCGTATTAAACAGAAAGGTATCTGTCTCCCGAAAGGTTTTATTTAGTTCCTAGGAGGTGATTCAAGATCGCCAGAAGCATGAATAGCCAGCTGTGCGGAGGACAGGGTTAATTATTGTTTCTCTATCTTGTAGCATGATTCCATAATGCAGCTACGCTTGTCACATTAATAGAAACTTTTCGTAGACCACGCACGACAGCATTCAAGATTTTGGTGTTACTTGTGGGAGCCGTCACTGTGAGGCCGGACTGAGCTCGCGTGGGGCCCGCAATCCGACGCTGACTTTCTACGATAAGCCCATAGCTACTATGGTTCCTTATGGCTTTCGAAAAAATAAACCGAATATACAGTTACCATTTTTTAACAACTTTAAGTTGAGAACAAAGCTCACTTTGCTCACCCGCCAATTTTGTTTCCCGATGTTAGCAAGACAAAGCGAGTAAGCGGCAAAAGACTTGAGGAGAAATCGGGCAGATAATCGTAGCCCTATTGCGTACTGACTTGAACGCATAATTGAAAATAAATTGACAGCTCTATTCTAGTTTTTCTTTATATTTTTAAAATGATGTACTAGTTAGTCCACAACACGTATTCGCTGGCGGCCATAGCTGTGTGCGAGACTGCTGAGCGCGTGCTGATGGCGAGCTTCCACAGTTCTTTTGCAACGTGCATTCCGCACCATCAAGAGTGCCGGTCTCAGCAGCCTATTGATGTGAGCTCGTTCTGAGGATGCGCTCTAAGCAGCACCCACAAATATGGCGTACAGTGAATACTCTCTATAGAACAGGGGTCTCAAACATGGTGCTCGCGGGCCGCATGCGGCCCGGCTGCGAGCCCCCGTTCCCATGCCCCGAGCGCCATGTGCGCCATAAATAATATTTTCATATTTTCGATTCATTTCCGCTTGAAAATAAGATCTGCTCTGTTAACGTATTTGTTTTCCTTCGGACGAAGTATACAAAAAACACTCGACCCCAGGGGCAGCAAACCGTTTTTGAGCCCAGTCACCGAGTTTGAGGCAAGACTCTCACCGGCGTCCCTCCTAACCGTAACCGAATGAACTGTGATTTCAATAGGCGCAGCCTGCGTAGGCGCAGTTTCAAATGCTGCTGGCGGCCAAATTCTCGTCTTTTCCCGCTATATTTCGTGTTTCATTTTCCCGAGGACATTGAGAAAACATTGTAACACATTTGAAAAATAAAAAACAAAAAACTGTAAGTTATTTTTGTTGGCGCGTGACAGAACGAATGCGACTAAAAGTTCTAGTTTTTTTTTTTTCTTTTGATAAGATTTGACGGCGCCGCGCGATTCGCCGCATGTGAAACGACAAAGTGCTTAGCTGTCAAAAATAAATTGCAACAGAAGAGTGCCGAAAGGCATGCCTTCTTCAAGCTCACAAATAACGTGTTTACCGATGGACGGGACACGGACATACAATTTAGAAAGTGTTCACATTCGAACAATGTATTGAACGTACCAGACGATGCAGCGTTATCTTAAAATAATGTATTTGAGAAAGATCTCAAATAACACAGTCACAGTCGACGACAATCCCATCTTGACAATCGGACGGAATCCAAGATGACTTCGTCTTGGGGCGCATTTTGGGGAGAGCTTCCCTTTTTCACAACAACACCCAAGCAAAGGAACGAACGCGACTGACCCGTTTCCCTCTCACCCCAACCCGGACAACTATTTTCGGACATGACTGAGGATTCTACGATGGATTATCTCTGGGAGGGGGCAGAAAAATGTTCGCAAAATCGCGTCGAGGGTCGTACGTTCGCCGTCTTTCACCTCCTTCGTTTCCCGTGAATGTCGAGCAGAAAAGCTTGAAGGACGGGCACTTACACGCCCTATTCCTCACAGTGGAAGAAAATACAAAAGGGTACGCAGCACGCATAAAAAAATTAAGCGGCACTCTCAAGAGGCGCGAGAAAACGTCGAATGCAAAACCGCAAAAACGTAGGTAGAGAACCGCGCTGAGCGGGTCTTCACAGTCCAAGAGAGTGGCAGAAAATTTCTAGCTGATAGAGGGCTCGAGAGTCGCACCAGCCACATCGCATCAACAACATGGCGGCGGCCTAGGAGCGTTTTTTGGAAAGGTGTATAAATGGTATGTCATTCATCACCCACTAAAACAGTTTACATCCTTAAGAGTGTAAACCGGCTTGTTCCAGGGTTAACACCCCAAGGGTGTTGCAGGAACATCCTTAGACCGCTAGTGAATACCCTAAAAAGAGCAAAACGATGAGCTTACAAAAAGCAGAAAACACAAGGTTCCTTATAATCTAATATATATATGGGGTGTTGCTGGGACCGTCGCCTGTTTTGCAACGTAAAACATCAACGTCGTTTGTTTTTTTGTTTCTTTTTTTTTTTTTTTTATTCAAGGGCCGCTAACGCGTCCCTCAGCAAAAAAGAAAAGCAAAAAAAAAAAAAATGATGACATTAAACTCTGGACAGCGACCGCCATCTATGAGCGACGGAGGCAACCAAACAACAAGCTTGCCGGTTGTCTGGTTGCCACCGTCGCTCATAGGTGGCGGTAGCTGTCCGGCGGTCCGGCCTTTCCACTCGGGCGTGCCGACTTGCGGCCGGCCATTACTTCATTCTCATTATAGTACAGCTTCGCTGGTCTTCCTTCTTCACCAGAGTGGAAAGGCTGAAAGTTTTTTCTGTGAATGTGTTTTTGCCTTCCAACCAAACGCATAAAGTGTGCCGTGACGTTTCGGTTTTATTCCGCCATTGTGCAGGGATCCGCAGCTGCTAACGGAGGTATTGTAGCCAATACAATGCCACTTTAGGGTCACGTGACATTCGAATGGGGTCAACGTTACTAGAACCCCTCAGTTGGGAAACTGCCATAGAGCCTGCTTTAAAGGGCTACTCCACCGATTTTTTTAGCTACCTCAACTAACTATATTTTCTGACTCCCCGGCCTTTAGCCTTTCCGGTATGCTATTTAGCATCGCGAAATTCAGAATAGGTATTGTGAAATCGACAAATGAAAATGGTGCAAAAACCAATATTCAAATATTCGCGCACTTTTCAGTGCCGTGACGTCGTGGCAGGCAGGCTTGCCAGTCGAGCAAGTAGTCTAAAAATAGAATATGTTAATCATTTGTTCCGTGCTGGAGCGCGGATACGGGAGCGAGCTTCCAAAGCACTCATTTGACACCAAAAAACTGCTTCAAATCCGTTGGGAACAACTTCTGTAGTCCAAAAAGTTAACCCCTGCCTTCCACTGACGTCACTTTGTTGTTGTTGCCAGTAGAGACTTTCAGTTTGAAAAACATGGTGAAGACCAAAACTGTAAATTCAATAACTTCGCGAAAAAACAATATTTTGACCTAATATTTGGGATACTATTTTAGCAATGTTTGTTGGTTAGTTTAGCAAAATTTCAAAAAAATCGGAGACAATGAAAAAACCGGTGGAGTACCCCTTTAAAAAAGTGGCTCCGATCCGTACTCGAGAACCGAGCTAATGGCGATCGAAACGCCGCCATTTCTCCCGCAGCGTCCACTACGGGAAGTGCATGGCTGCACGCCGAGTCGGGCGAGGGCCGGTGGCGCCATCTCGCAGGGCCATCTCGCAGTAGCTATGCAAAGGAGCTCTTATGTTTCAGCTCGTCGCTGAAGGCTGGCGCTGTATCGTATTTAGCTTGATCTCGGTAGACGCCAGTGGCCCGAGTAACGGGTTTCAAGGGTGAGTTTCCCAACTGAGGGTTTTAGGAACGTTGAATGGGGCGCAGCTGGCGCAGCGACGCATGGGGCGCCGGTGATGGGATACTATGATTCCTGCAGTTGTCTTCGATTGGTGTGTGTTAGCGTCCTGCGC